GTAGGGAAGGGCCACTCAAGTACCTAAAGAAACCTTTCTGTTGTCTGTATCACAGACCACATTCCAGGTCTTCCTGAAACATGACTGAGTCCAGTAACCACAGTAGATCTATCTACATCATTAACACCAACACAATCCACTTGTGTTACATATTATAAATGACTTCGTCTATATCCTTAAGTAACATATGTAAAAAAATATAGCTCAGCATCTGGACACAATAACCATAAATAGATGTCATCCCTGCGTTTAGATCCACATAAATGTCCCTGAAGTGGACACTACGTGATACTTACTGAAAACTGGTAGGGAGGAAATAATGGTTAAGGGGCTGGGAGGGGAGCCAAACTGACTGGGTTTGAATTTCAGTTCTGCTACTTATTTAACCTCCCTGTGCCTCAGTCTTCTTATCTGTAAAATGAGGCTAAAACCGGCACCTATCTAATAGGGTTGGTAGAAGGAGGAAATCAGGTAATACATGTTAGATGACTGCCACATGGTAAGGGCTCAATAAAAAGTTAGATGTTGGTATTACTATGATTGTAGGCTGGTGCTTTGCATTATGTCCTTTAATCTTTATGACCCCACGAAGTAGTTACGAGTAACAGAGGATGAGGATTTACACCTGTCTCTGCCCAACTCCAAACCCACACTCTCCGCTCCACCACCATCTCCAGCTATCCCAACGTCTTACCCACTTCTTTAGTATGAACACCATCTAAAATTCACACACTTTATGGTTTTCAAAGTATTTTCATATTATGTTGCATTTGATATTCTCAATAAATATGTGAGTCGGGCCAGGGTAGGTAGTATTTTAGGAAAGGGGGATCTCAGACAAGGTTATACAGAAAATAAGGACTGAAGCTTGAACCAGAACCAGGTCTTCTGACTCCTAGTGCAATGCTGTTCCAACTCTATCACATCTGGAAGTCAAGGGTCAGATCTTCCCCGTACTTTATGTAGCCCTACATGTCTATGGTGACATCTGGCATAAACACCTAACCACTGTTTGACGATGCCAAGAGTAACAGCAAGTCACGTTTTGTTTCCAGAGTTCTGGCACACTGTGATCTGCTTCTTTGGATCTGGATGTTGCAGTATCCAGTCCTTTGGTAACCCAAGCTGAGTGGATATTAAGTTTTGCCTCTGTCTTAGCAGGTGGAATGGGCTGCAACAGAAGAGCTGTGTAAACACCTTTGGTATGAGAATCTAGGAAATCTCGGGGAATGAGTCTTCTTGCCCCCTCAATGCCTCTGGAGAAATCTCCCTTTCACCTGTGTCAATGATAGTTGGCCAGGTTTTCACATCCACAGCTGCTGCTGCCTCTCGGGACCTCAGTAACCTCATTAGGGTCTGTGTGGTGAGAATGCAGGCTGCTTTGCTGACCTAGAAACAAATGGACAAAAATAAGCACCACGAGGCTTAGCCCCGTGTAGCACCATAGGCTCGGGCTGCTGCTAAAAGCAACTCGCACATCATACTGGGACAGGGCAGTACCAGCTTTTCAAAGAATACACACAGGACAGTGGAGGTCAGTGTTCCCCTTACGTTTGTCCTGAAAAATGCGTAACACTGAATAAGAATGATGGACTTGCTCATAACACAAGTTACTGTTTACAGCAGTGATTCTCATATATTCCATGGTTATAACCTCAGTACAGATCCCCAGATCTCTTGATTTCATGAAGACCATAATAAAATAAAAACATGGACTTCGTAGTACTCAGGGAATGAGAGGTGTTGGAGGATCATCTCTGAAGGAGGTAGTGTTTGCAACAGTCCAGGGAATATGGTGAAACACACCGGACCCAGAACATACCCTGGACTTGAGGGACTCTGTGCACTCACAGGAACAAGCTCTCCCACACACCCGCACATGGAAACGCATGGGGACCAACTTCCCTCACCCCGCAAACTGTGTCAGTGGAAGGAAACTCCCCTCCCTGCTGCTCCGGCCTACTTTGCAGAATATAACCAGGGCATTTTGCCAAACTGAACTTCGTAGTAAAATCATCTGTGGCGAATGCGCCTTTTATACTGCAGGCTCCAGTTGGGGATGGAGCAGCAATTCTTAGAGCAACAAATGTTACATAAATTGGAACTTTGTAACTCTTTGCTTTAAAGTACATTAGGATATGATTAGAATAAGATTTATCTTACTTTCCTACTATAGTATACTTTAATACTATACCAAGTGAATTTATAAGACTAACCCCCCAAAAAGTGACCTGACACGGGGAGAATTCAGTTTGGCATTTAAAATTACCTTGGTTACTGTGCAGAAAAAATATTAGGGCTCTTTTAAGAAGAGGGAAAAAAATAAGTTTCATGGAGAAATACTAATGACAGCTTCACTTCCTTAATGTTCATGATAAAAACACAATCCTGTATCTCACCAAAAACTGCTTTCCTCACATTCCTTCACTGGAAAATGCTGGTCACTTTCATCAGATAAAGGAAAAGGAGGTAGTTTGCCGGAGACAGATTCGACTTCCTGACTCAGTTAGACTGGAAAATGAGTGAGGATGCTTAGCTGTCTGACTCTGGGTTTTATGAGATGAGGACAAGGCAAGTTATACCCGGCACTTACATCAATAATCATGCGGACAGTGGGCAATGTGGCTGTGAGGTTCTGAGCATGAGGAGGTCGGACGGTCACAGGTATGCACCCGGCGTACAGGCAGCCGTAGAACGCAGCGATTAACTCGATGCCTGCAAGACAGAGCCACTTAGCTGCCTGGTTTGTCACCGAGAAAGCAAAAGCCAGAGTTTCCAAACCCAATTTATTTATTTATTCCAAAACCAGTTTATTAAATCATGTGCCAGATGAGTTCATTAGACCGTAATTTAACAGAGACATTATCGGAAGAAATTTTTAAAATTTAGAAGAAACTGAAGGTAAAGAAGGATGCATATAAAACAACTTAAAAAAAAATGGAGAAGCCAAGAATAAATAACGAGAAAGGAGCTCAGAAGTAAGCTCTTGAAAGATACCTGACGAAGGTATTTTGACATCATTACTTGATATTACTTAGGAGAAATAACTGCAAAAATTAGGGCTGCTCCACTTGGAAGATAAAAGAATGGGAAAAGGAGAGATGAGGAACACCTGAGCTTTCTTTCACTCTTTAGACGGCCGCTATGTGAACAGCAATTGGACCCCCGAGATGTCACTCCCCCAGTGGGTGCAGGTTTTAGGGAGGCAAGGCATCACTTGATACGAAGCCTCTGCAATATCAGGACTCGAAGGGTGGCCTCCTTGGGAAGTGCTGTGGTCCATCACCATGATTAATTGGTAGATGGAAGACAATCTCCCAGGAACAAGATTGGAAGAATTCCTTTACCAGATGACCTTCTAAGAAATCTTAGTATCAATGTAAATAAAAGAGCAAAGTGAGAATCACAGTAAAATGAGGTAAAAGGGATAAAAGACCACAGAAGGCTGGATTTATGAGTTAGGTGGCCGAAGACTAAAGAAAGGGACAACTGAAATATTTCACCTAAAATTTTTAATATTTACACCAAACTCATCAAGTAATTCTGAGTCCCTCTTTTCTTTTTCTTTAATTTTATTTTTGGCTGCACTGGGTCTTCGTTGCTGCGCGTGGGCTTTCTCTAGTTGTGGCAAGCGGGGGCTACTCTTCGTAGCGGTGCACGGGTTCTAGGCATGCGGGTTTCAGTAGTTGTGGCACTAGGGCTCAGTAGTTGTGGTGCATGGGCTTAGCTGCTCCACGGCATGGGGGATCTTCCCGGACCAGGGATTGAACCCGTGTCCCCTGCACTGGCAGGCGGATTCCCATCCACTGCACCACTAGGGAAGTCCCTGAGTCCCTCTTGATGTAAAGAGGTTGCTGAATTAGAGCGTGGAAGATGAATGCACTAATAATCGAGGGACAGTAAGCACCAATTACGATGTGGAGAATGTGAAGTCAGAGTTCACACACAACATGCTTTCGAAAACTGGGTGAAAGAATCCCGTTCCTGAGCACTCCTAGAAATAAGGGTCTCTTTTGAGTGTTTCCAAAAGTCAAGAAGTTGTCATTCACTCATTCAATATTTACCATAGTGCCAGGCACTGAGCTAGACAGTGGAAATACAAGAGTAAGCACAACAGACTCGGTCCTGGCAGAGCCCTCACACTGCACAACTCTGAGAGGAGAGGCCTGTTCCCATGGCATGAGCCTGTGCACACAGCCCACGTAGTCACGTATAGCAGCCCTGAGCTCCTGTCCTCTCAGAGTCTGTAGTCTAGCAATGGGGCTTGTCTAGTCTACCAATCCAGCACTTACCAGGTGGATAGAGTAACACAACGTTGTCTCCTGCGTTTAGATGTCCCTTGTCACCAAGAACTGCCGCAATCCTATCCGCTCGCTTATGAAGCTGAAGGCAGCTGGCGGTGCACACCGTAGTTCCCTGTTAAGAGAAGAAAGTATAAGCAGGTTGACGCTCAGTAAGGAAAACAGTAACAAACAGAGCCAATTTGACATTATATGGAAGGCTTGTGCCTTGCTAGATTATCTGTAGCAAGTTATCAAGTTCAGTGAAAATTCCCCAAGCACCAAAAGACGTGTGTGGTATTCCTTTTCTTTCTCAATGTTTGAAGGTACTTAGGGACTAACAACATTAACTTAAATCAAACATATGTATTTACAGTCTCTCTTATTTAAGGTAGCTTTAAAAATACATAGCAATTTTGTATTTAAATGAAGAAATAAGAGAAGAGGGGAAAATAAAAGAAATTAAAGCAGGACGAGGGCATGAGTGAGGTCAGGACGCTGGCTATGTGGTCAAGTACACTTGCGTAAAACACGAGTTTGGCTCTGAGTATTCTAACAGCAGAGATGTAAACAAAAACACGAACACTGAATTAACAAAGGTTAGCAGATTAGAAGATGGCCAATTATTCCTGGTCCTGAGAATAATTTCTCCTGCGGGTCTTCATAAATATCCTTATCGTCCAATTCAAGTTTCACCGAGCTGGGCTTTTTGAACCCCTGTGCCTTTGTAAAATATAACACACGAGTGTGAAAGTGCATAAGATATGAATGTGTAGCTTAATAAAAAAATTATAGGGCTTCCCTGGCGGCACAGTGGTTGGGAGTCCACCTGCCAATGCAGGGGACGCGGGTTCGTGCCCCGGTTCAGGAGGATCCCACGTGCCGCAGAGCGGCTGGGCCCGTGAGCCATGGCCGCTGAGCCTGCGCATCTGGAGCCTGTGCTCCGCAACGGGAGAGGCCGCAGCAGTGAGAGGCCCGCGTACTGGTGGGGGGGAAAAAATATATATATATATATATAAAACAAGCATCTGTGTAAGAACCAGCCTGATGTGAAAAAGACCACCGCTTAAAAGCACCCCCATGGGTGCCTTCTCCTTCCCTCCATAGGGGACCACTATCGTGACTTTTTAATGTTAGTAGCTAATTTCTTTTTCTTTATATTTTTACCAACTATGAAATATTTGATTTTCATAGAGTTGTGCTGTACATATATATTTTTGTGATTTGCTTCTTTCTCTCAACATTCTATGAAGCGTCATCTAACCTCTCATGCTTAGGTGTATAGTTCATTTGCTTTTGTTGCTGCACAGTATTTAGCTGCATGAACATACCACAATTTATTCATCCATTCTACTGCTGATGGACAAATTCATTCTAATACATATATCCTGGTGCATAAATACATGAGTTTTGGTCAGGTATAGCCCTAGAAATGGAATTGCTGGGTCAACTGGTATGCCTACCTTCAACTTTACCAGATAAAACCAGTACAAGTTCAATATAGAAAATTTGGAAAATATAGATTAGTAAATATGAGATGTAACCACTATTAACTTTTGCTGTATATTTTCCTGGTTTTTAACAAATGAGTATGTATTGTATATAAATTCACATGCAACATTAAAAAAAAAAAGGTATCATACTATATTATGCCAGAGGCTGTATAGTGCATTGGCTAAGAATGTGGGCTCTGAAGCTAGTTTGGGTTCAAATGAAGGAGCTAATTTCCTAGTCCTACCACTTAGGGCCCTGCGACCTTAGGCAAGTGATTTTATGTCTCTATGCCTCCGTTCCCCTAACCTTAAAATGAACTATAAAATGGAAAGCACCCAGGACAGGGTCTTCAGTAAGTACTCAATTATTATTAAAGTTTTATATCCTACTTTTCCTACTTCCACATTATGACTATTTTCTGGGTCATCAACTATTCTATAACATTATTTTCAATGACTGCATAGTATTTCATGTTTATATGCCATAATTTATTTAGTCAATTGTCTATTGTTGGGCATTAAGGTTATAACACTAAAATGAATATTCCTTTGGCTAAAATCAGGGTTAAATTCATAAGGCCATTTCTTACAATAGCTCTCTTTTTGGTCCTTGGTACGGCAGTAAACTAAACTTCAGTAAGAAGCATTTTCTGGGCATAAGGGAACAATGTTGTATGGTTCCTAAGCTTTCTTGTGGCCTGGGCTAATCCAAGGTAAAATGTTAGAATATGCAGAAGAATAGATGGACTACATGTCCTTTAGTCATCCATATATATTATTTCTCTACCCAAGAAGCAAATTTCAACTTACGTTCACTAACAAATAGATCTGAAGTATGATCTGACAGGGCCATAAGTTTAACTGTAGCCAAGCTTGGGAGTGGAGTGGGGAACAAGCTGGACTGACATCTTCTTACTGAAATGGAAGGACCCTAATCAATCCATGGGCTTGAAGAGAAGCCCACTTCATGCAGAGGTGGAGTAAGGAAGTCCCAAAGTTTTCTACCATAGAGCAATGGTTCTTAAGATTTTAACTGACTTTTCACTAAGATGCACAACATATTCCTCTCAGGTTCTATCACTGAAATTCTCAACAAAGCTGTGTATGTGTGTGTGTGGGGTGTGTGTGTGTGTGTGTGTGTGTGTGTGAGAGAGAGAGAGAGAGAGAGAGAGAGAGAGAGAGAGAGAGAGAGAGACTATCAGGACCTGGGGCAGAAGGGGGCCATCTGGGTAAGTCCCTAAGGAACTCCAATAGGCCCTCCAGTCTTCCCCCTGCTGGTGACAAATACTGTCCTATGCTGTGGTCACAGTACTTTCAGCTTTGGACTCAACCATTAAAACAAACAAATCTTAACAGACTCCCATGGAATGCATAACTTAAAAAATACAATATTCTGGTGAACCATCCATTAGAAAGCAATAGTTAAACATACTCTTGAATAATTTTCAATTTGCTTTTTATGTTAGCAACAAATACTTTAATTTAAGTATGTACTAGAAACAACTGGTTTTTAAAATGTTGATCTAAAGTCATTTTATTTCTGGTGGAAATCAAAGAATTAAAAGTCAAACTGGGTTAAAAATTACATTGACACAATGCATTCTGTCTATCTGTAGATTATGTAATTACATGGTTGCCCTATGTTTCCTATCAGAACTGAATAAAGACAACTTGATTGTGACAATAAAGAGACAGTATTGAATAACACTCCAGGAGGTCTCATTTCAACCTTGAAATAACTGCACAATTTATCCTCATATATCAAAACAAGGAGAAAGCAACAACTCCTTCCTCTGAGCTGGCAATAGAACTTTTCTGATGAAAGAAAGAGATCAAGTGTACCTAAGATACTCTCACAATAGCCAGCTGATTAGACATACAATTGCATTTTTAATACCTTGGCATTTAACAGCATGAAGAGTACGTGGTCAGGAGTTGCCTGGGCTCGCCACTGTAAAATCTCCGCCAGAAATTGGTGCTAAAGTCATAAAGCAGAAAAAAGAATCATGGTCAGCAACTTTTAAAAAGCTGGACAATGCATCTGCCATCTGTTATCTGAAGCGTAGGTTCTGTCCTTGACTTGTTTGTAAAAATCAACACTTCTGCAACACTTACCTTCTTCACTAAATCATTCTCTTCAATTTGCCCAAGATCCCTTCCTGCAGCTTGTGCTATGCGTTTTCCTGCAACCAGATTCCCAACCATCACAGAAGCAGGGCCTACGCCTGTAAGTAAAAGCAAAAATCAGCTCTCTGGAGATGGCGATTCAAGCTACATACCACCCCCACGCCAGCCCCAAGCATTTCCAGACTGACCAAAGCTGGTTCAAATGTTCATTCAACCAATACTGACTGAGCACCCTTCTAGGCACTGGGACAAAGTAGCAAACAAGACACACAGCTTGCATTCTAGCGGGGAAAGGCAACCAATAAACACATACACAAATAATGTCAGGTAGCAGGAAGTGCTGGAAAAAAAGAAAATAGGACCACAGGAGAGACACGGATTGGGGGGTGGAGGGACTGTGTAGAGAGGGAAGTTTTCACTCCGAGGAGGTGACAGTTGGTTTGCATTGGTTCCTACTGATACATTTCATCTGTTCCAATCATGGATAAAACCCTAACAGGGGTCTTAACAGTAATAAATATCTGGTCTGAAAAGAAATCTGCCATCTATGAGGACTGAGAGTGAGTTCATCAGGAAAATCAGAAGGGCTTTATTTTTTTATTTATTTTTTTTTTGCGGTACGCGGGCCTCTCACTGCCGTGGCCTCTCTCGCCGCGGAGCACAGGCTCCGGACGCGTAGGCTCAGCGGCCATGGTTCACGGGCCCAGCCGCTCCGCGGCATGTGCGATCTTCCCGGGCCAGGGCACGAACCCGTGTCCCCTGCATCTGCAGGCGGACTCTCAACCGCTGCGCCACCAGGGAAGCCCAGAAGGGCTTTATTTTAAGTGAGCAATGAAATCCAGATTGTAGGACATCCTACAAGACAACTGGCCTGGATTCTTCAAAAAGGTCCCTGTCTTGAAGACACAACAGATTTGGGAGCTTTCAAGTTAAAGGACATGACAGCCAAAAGCAATGTGTGACTTTAGATACTGGATTAAAAAAAAAAAATCAGCTATTATAATAAACAGGTGGAGAAATATGAACATAGATTGTGTATTATTAAATGATAGGATTATATTAATGCTAACTTTCTTTTTTCTTTTCTTTTTTTTTTTTTTTGAGGTACACAGGCCTCTCACTGTTGTGGCCTCTCCCGTTGCGGAGCACAGGCTCCGGACGCGCAGGCTCAGCGGCCATGGCTCACAGGCCCAGCCACTCCGCGGCATGTGGGATCTTCCCAGACCGGGGCACGAACCCACGTCCCCTGCATCGGCAGGCGGACTCTCAACCACTGCGCCATCAGGGAAGCCCAATGCTAACTTTCTTAATAGGATAATGGCATTGTGGCTGATTAGGAAAATTTTAGGAGAATGTTTTTGTTCTCTAGAGATACACTGCTGAAATATTTGGGGGTGAAGTGTCATGATGTCTGCAATTTCCTTTCAAAGAATTCAGTTTAAAAAAAAGTTAACAGTTGCTGAATCTAGGGGAAGTATATGGGTGCTCATTACAGTATTTTCAACTGTTCCAGAGGCTTGCCACTTGGGGGAAAAAAAGTGAAAACTCTCCCTTTCTCAAGAGAAAAAAGGAAAACTCTCCCTTTCTCAATAATGCTACGGCTTTGTATGCCTTTCCTGATGGTCACTGAAAGATTAGACTCCAACATATGAAACTAAGAAGACGGCTAAAACATAACAAAATTTATTGCCAGCTGAGTTTTGAATAATGCTGATACTATGCTTTGATTAATATTAAATAACGTTTATTGCCGAAATCTGTTGATTATGAATGTACTGAAATAGCTGGAACAAAATCACTTAAATCATGGAATCACTTTTAAATATGTGGGGAAGTTGGGTAAAGAGTATAAGGCAATTCTTTTACTATTTGGCAACTTTTTTTGTAAGTGAAATTACTTCAAAATGAAAAGTTAAAGAAAAACTTTAAACTAAAAAAAAAAAACCACACCCTAAGGGTAAAGAACTCCAATACTCTGCTATACAGTTTTCATCTACAAAGTGTATGTCCACTGAAATTAAGTACTGGGTGGCCAAAAGGTTCGTTTGGTTTTTTCCGTAAGATGGCTCTCTAGTAGTGCTTAGCTGTCTTTAACTTCACTCGAAACAATTTTGTTAGACTGTATTATGACAGCTGTCATATCAGTGTGCATTTAAAAAAAAAACTTATCAAAATTGGTGAATTTTTGTGTAGCCATTTTAATATTGAAGATAGAAGGAAAAACAACATTTTCAGCGTATAATGCTTTATTATTTCAAAAAAGGTAAAAAATGCAACTGAAACGCATAGAAAGATTTGTGCAGTGTATGAAGAAGGTGCTGTGACTGACCGAATATGTCAAAAGCGGTTTGCAAAGTTTAGTGCTGGAGATTTCTCGCTGGACGAAGCTCCATGGTTGAGTAAACCAGTTGAAGCTGATAGCGATCAAATCAAGTCATTGAGAACAATCAACATTATACCACGCGGGAGATAGCTGACATACTCAAAATATCCAAATCAAGCGCTGAAAATCATTTACACCAGCTTGGTTATGTGAATTGCTTTGATGTTTGTGTTCCACATAAGTTAAGCAAAAAAAACCTTCTTGACTGTATTTCTGCTCACGATTCTCTACTGAAATGTCATGAAAACGTTCCGTTTTTAAAACAAACCGTGACAGGAGATGAAAAGTGGATACTGTACAATGATGTGGAACAGAAGAGATTGTGGGGCAAGCGAAATGAACCAGCACCAACCACACTACAGGCTAGTCTTCATCCAAAGGTGATGTTGTGTATATGGTGGGATTGGAAGGGAGTCCTCTATTATGAGCTCCTTCTGGAAAATCAAATGACTAATTCCAACAAGTACTGTTTCCAACTTGACCAGTTGAAAGCAGCACTCGACGAAAAGAGGAATTAGTCAGAAAACGCATCATCTTCCATCAGGTTAACGCAAGAATACATGTTTCTTTGATGACCAGGCAAAAACTGTTACAGCTTGGCTGGGAAGTTCTGATTCACCCGCTGTATTCACCAGACATTGCACCTTCAGATTTCCATTTATTTCCGTCTTAACAAAATTCTCTTAATGGAAAAAGTTTCAATTCCCTGGAAGACTGTAAAAGGCACCTGGAACCATTCTTTGCTCGAAAAGAAAAAGGTTTGGGAAGATGGAATTATGAAGTTGCCTGAAAAATGGCAGAAGGTAGTGGAACAAAATGGTGAATATGCTGTTCAATAAAGTTCTTGGTGAAAATGAAAAATGTCTTTTATTTTTACTTAAAAGCTGAAGGAACTTTTTGGCCAATCCAATACAATATGCAAAATTCTTTCCCAAGAGACTGCATAATATGTTAACAGATACATTATGTTGGAGACAGCCTTTTTTATATAGGCAGGACTCAGACTATATATGACTGTGTAAGTTGCCCATTCCTGGACTCACACTGTAAAGTTAATAAAGGCGTGACATTTTAAAAAGTGAATTTTTCAGAGTAATTTAAAATGACAAAAATAATTCAGCAGTAATTTCTTGAGGTCCTTCTGTGTGCATTTCTTGAGACTATGAGTCAAAGAGTGAAAAATTACTGAAAGCTATAACATCTACGAGGCTAATTGCTGATACTGTGCTGCACCCGTAATATGTCTTCTTATTTTCTCCACAAAATTCTGTAAATTTCCACTGGCGAAGACTGCCAGTCATCAAGCCCTATTCTCCTCTTTTTCCTTAATAACACAACCCCCGGTTTTTAGCTGGGCAAATGCCTGGAATAAAGACTCTATTCTTTAGCGTGGGAGAATAATAGGTAAGAGTAAGTAATATGTGCGATTTCTAGAAGATATGTTTAAAGGGGAAGGGTATTCCCTTCTTTGTCTTTTTCTCCCACCTGCTAGCTGGAATGGAGAACTGATGGCTGGAGGTCAGGAGCTTAAATGAACCCTGAGGCAGTATGCTAAGGCTGGCTGTGGCAGATTGTTTTATTTTCTTACAAGTCTTCCTTGCTGTGATTACATGAGAGGAGTATATACCTCTCTGCTCCATTGACTTTGGGCATGGTCTGACTTGTTCTGGACAATAAAATGTTAGGAAACATGAAGCAAACAGAAGCTTTAAGTATGCTTGTATGGTTTGGCTTGCTTCTTGCTTTTGCCATCTGCCTTGAGGAAAATATGGCACAGGTAGCTGCTGGTCCCATGATGAGGAGACACATGGAACAGGTCCGAACCCAACCTACATCCTGGAGCCAAGCCAAGGCCAGCAGATCCCAGCCAGATTCAGCAGATCCACATTCCATGAGTGAAAAATAAATGCTTCTTACTTTAAACCACTGAGTTTTAGGATTATTTGTTATGCAGCACATCTATAACAATAGTTAACTGATAACAATGCCAGCGCAATAAGATGGGAAGCTGGATCAACAGTGACTGAGGGTTCCTAGCCAGTTCCATCCTAGCCTTGGACTGCCTAGCTCTGGATTTCTTTCACCTGAGAAAGAAAAAACTTGTCTCTTGTTTAAGCAGCCATTATGTTCTTCTGAAACGTGCAGCCAAAACCAGTCCTAACACATTCCCATTCTTTACACGATAGCTTAACAGACATCTCAATGAGATTTTTGTCACTGGGCTACCTTAACACCATTTCTATCTTCCTTTTCCTCTCCTTTCCTTTTTTACCTCACTCCCAACCATCTCCATGTTCCTGTATTCTTCTTAAACCCCATCCTCTCATGCTATCCCCACAGCATGTCTGTTCCACCTATGCTACATTTTCAAGCTGCTTTGGTCTGACCCATACGTATTCCACTAAGATCTTAGCAGACCATCACAACAGACAGCAAAAACACAGAATCCAAACCTAATGCTTTCATCAGACAGGTGGATGCTATGCCTATGAGGGATTAGGAATAAACCTTTTATACAGGTTTCATCATTTAGTAAAACTGGGTGAAATCTGGCTAGCAAAACCAATGTTTTAAGCAACTACTATGTCTCTGAGTTGCATCCTTTAAGCATCTACTGAAATGAAAGCTTTGTTAAAGGAATTCTAGATTAAATGCTATTTAAAATAGGATTTTACTCATGACAAATGTAGGACTTCAGTATAACAGAATACAAGATGGAGAAGGATTTGTATGTTTTACATTATCCATCAGATACGTAGGCAGGAAATATGAAGATACTTGTTATATATTTCTTGATTAGTACAGATTGATTCTAACTGCCCCTTTAGAATATTAACCTCCATAAACTCTCATTTCCACTAGCAGAAACTGATATCATATATACTTTAGCTCTATACACACTGTTACTAAGATAAGGTTACTTGGCGAGTTGACAATAACATCTATATAACCAAATGTGATATGATCTTCAGCCACCAGACCACTGAAGTAATAACTACTGCAAAGCAGAGCAGATTAACACTGTAATATCCTAATAAAAATATCCTAGAGAGTCAGAGGCTTACCTTTTATTTTATTATTGTACATCATATTTACCTTTCAGGAAAAGCGGTCTTAATGGAAATATAATTAAATGCCATACTTCCCTTTGACTTCCTAATCTTCCCACTATGTGTACGTGTGTGTGAGTGTATGTGGTAGCAGTGGGAACCGTAAAGGCCAGATTTTGGCTCTCATGTGTTTCCAGGCATACAAGAAACTGGGAGGCTCTCATTAACTTCTCAATTAAAATGAAAAAGCATCAATAAAACCTAATGACTTCATGTTGGATTGAATAGTTTTTTTTTTTTTGTTTTTTTTTTTTTTGTGTTCCCCCAGCCTCTCACTGTTGTGGCCTCTCCCGTTGCAGGGCACAGGCTCCGGATGCACAGGCTCAGCGGCCATGGCTCACGGGCCCAGCCGCTCCGCGGCATGTGGGATCTTGCCGGACCGGGGAACGAACCCGTGTCCCCTGCAACAGCAGGCGGACCCTCAACCACTGCACCACCAGGGAAGCCCTAAATAGATATTTTAACATGACTGACCATCAATCACTTACTCCTGCCTTTAGTCTCCTACTCATTAGCCCTACAACCTAGGTTTGTTCAGAAATTAAGCAAAATGGTGAAATTGACTATTTGGTTTTTTCCTTGTTTCATATGGCAATTCACATACTTCTATTTGCATCTTGAATTCATAGGAATACGGCAAATGCAAAACATGCTATTTATCTCACCTCTGTCACTAACCAGCTATATGACTTTGGGCACAATTCTTAACTTTTCTGAACTTTACTTTCCACAGCTGAGGGCAAAGCTCTAGGATCATATTTGTAAAATGTATAGCTAATATTTGGCTTTTAGTAAGCCTCAATAAATACTAGCTACTCTTATTATCAGAACCTTCCCTTACAGGACTTGCTTCATTCTACCTCCACCAGTGGGATTCTGATCACCTTGACCCCATACCTTACATCCAGGGAAAATGGAGGCACTCTACTGAGAATTACTCAGAAGACTGAGCCAACAGTAAACCTGGAAAAGCTATTTTACGAAATCTCACTCCTTCCTGCTTTTGGTCAGCTGATACTGTTCTCATGTTACTTACTAATCTCTGTAAAGTCCAACTCTAGAGAAAAAAATCATGCTGAGAGAATTCAGCTTCTTCAAGTTACAGTTTTAATGTCATGCCTTCAAAGCCAGCATTCTTACCTGGTTGCTTTTGCCGGGGTTTTGGCAAATTGGTCACGCATGTATGTGGGCACATGAGGATATTACAAGGATGTAGCGATCCCTCCAGAAAGAGCTGTTTCGTCTGAGATATGTGGATCCCTCCCAGTGGAGTTTTGGGCAGAGTATTGGCAGGCACCAGAGCAAGACAATAAACCCCCACTTGATGAATGCTATCGATTGCCTAGAAAAATACAAACAAACAAAAATATTCAGTGAGATTAATTTTATGACATTTGACATCCTCCTAACACAATGCATTATTCTACTCTAAGAGTTTTTCGTGTTTTATTTTATTTTTGGCTTCTTGGGTCCTCGTTGCTGCGCGTGGGCTTTCTCTAGTTGCGGCGAGCGGGGGCTACTCTTTGTTGCGGTGCGCGGGCTTCTCACTGTGGTGGCTTCTCTTGTTGCGGAGCACGGGCTCTAGGCGCGAGGGCTTCAGTAGTTGCGGCTCGCGGGCTCTAGAGCACAGGCTCAGTAGTTGTGGTGCACAGGCTTAGTTGCTCCGTGGCATGTGGGATCTTCCCGGACCAGGGCTCAAACCCATGTCTCCTGCATTAGCAGGTGGATTCTTAACCACCACGCCACCAGGGAAGCCCTAGAGTTTTTCTTTCTCTCTCCATTCTAGGTCTAGAATCTGGTAGATTATTAGGATCCCATACATCTAAAGGTACCTAATCCTTCCAGTGATGGCAGAGTGGTGAGGTACTGGCCAACCCAGTACAATCTAAATGGACAGAGGTGGATACTGATTTGCAAGCCTCAGTATGTTCTCTCTTGATTGATAATGTCCAAAACCTAGAAATTTGTTTCGGTTCTTTTAATATTTTAGCTGTCCAACATAGCTCAATTAAACAGAGGCAAAATATATTTTTTTTAATTTAAAAATTTTATTTATTTATTTTTAATAAATTTATTTATTTTATTTATTTAATTTTGGCTGCACTGGGTCTTCGCTGCTGCATGCGGGCTTTCTCTAGTTGCGGCGAGCGGGGGCTACTCTTCGTTGTGGTGCATGGGCTTCTCATTGCAGTGGCTTGTTGCAGAGCACGGGCTCTAGGCGTGTGGGCTTCAGTCATTGTGGCACGTGGGCTCAGTAGTTGTGGCACACGGGCTTAGCTGCTCCGTGGCATGTGGGATCTTCCCGGACCAGGGCTCGAACCCGTGTCCCATGCATTGGCAGGCGGATTCTTAACCACTGCGCCACCAGGGAAGTCCCAGTATTTTTATTATGAACAAAACAGAAGCTCTGTAAGTAAGCCCTTGCTTAAGTGGTTCACCAGGTTACTAGGCATCCCCTTTGCAAAACATCCAGGTGAGGCCCACCGCACACTGAGTCCTGGAGGCCAACAGCTCCCTCGGTGCACCCCTGTTCCCAGCCACTCACCTGTGCGCTCACTGAGTGTCAGCTGTGCCTGCTTCTATACCTTTTACAGCTGCTGTTCTTGTTGCTGTGCTCATATAATTAACTATTATATCCACTGATAAAATATGAATGCAAAATAGGAAGAGTTATGCTTTTTAAAGACTCATTAGAGGTGAACTCCTACTGTTGATAGGAATGGGCAAGTTAATTCTAAAAGGTAAGTTTCTTTTCAAATACTCACGTTCTAGTCTAACTTAAAGGAAATGAAACCAGAAACCAATGCTTTTGGATGTAGTTTATGGAAGTAAGCTGACCTGGAACTCAAACTGGTGTAACTCACACTCACACGCCTCTGCATCAAATAAAGGCACACTTGTTATGTTTTGTGTTAAAATTTAATACTTGAAGAATTTCTCATTGTTATAGTTTTCTGCTTCAATCACCTTTGAAAACTAACTGACCAACCATCAATACCATTTCTAAACATGCCAGTTGAGAGGGTTCTTTTGTACTACTCACAAATCTTACTGAAAAGGAGATCCAGCCTGAGAAGACGAATGGACCAAGAGTCATAAAAGACAGACAAGGCCTTTTATTAAAATGACTTAAAAGGGCAGAGGAATAAAATTGAAAGCATATTCTTCAGAATAATCCACTAACCAACAGAGATAACTAGGAAATGGAAGTCTGTAACAGTTCCTAAGTCTTGAGTATCTTAGAATATACAGGAAGTTAGCAAATGTATCATGTGTACCCTGGATTCCTCACTGAAAATACACCACCTGGTAAGTCATCCACTGACGACGTTCCTTAGAAGGTGCTGAGTTAGGCGTTTAGTTTATATCATACACAGACCTGGAATTAAACAACCTCTGGGCTCTAACCTACCAGAACATATGATGTTCTTAATGTTCTACTATGGATCAAAGTACCCCAAGTAGAGAAGCTACATATAAGATAATGCCTTCTTATTCAACACCCAAATCAGACCCCAATGACTTTAACAAAAATTTGGATTAGTAAGTTTAGCACTGCATTTAATTCCTATAGTTGCTTTCCAGGGAAAAATAACAACCTGGGAAATTTGCTTCCTGTAACTGGAAAAAATACATAATTCACCACAAGATTCTACCACTATCCCCCAAAGTTCTTTCTGAATGAAATAAGCAGTGTGTTTGAAAATATGAACAGTATAAAAAAATTCTCTTTGCAGGTCTGATTACTAACTGTCTTTCAGAGATCACCCAGTCCCACTTTCTTCACAGTTTTTTCTATCTAGTCTATCTTCAGTATTCTCTTTCCTTTCTCTGATTTTTGCACTATAAACAGCCTATGCTATACCAACTGATAATTTAGAATCACAGACCCTGCAGATAGGAAGAATCTTAAAAGTCATCTAGTGCTATCGCTCATCTCGTGCTTACAACATTTCTACAACATTACTACTAACTGGCAATAAATAAATCCAAATGCCCCAAGCAGACAAGTTATAGACATTGGGAACAATCCCAATACATATAAGTTGAATGGTAAGGACAGTCCATGCTTTCTCTGGACCATCCATTTATCCAACAAATATTTGCTGAGCCTACTCTGATGATGTGCTGGCATAGCTATCTGGTTCTGGACTAACAGAAACAAGAGAGAGTAACTCTTGGCTTTCATGGGTCTTTTATTATAGTGGATGTAGAAAACAATAAATATAAAGACACTTATATGCTGATAAATACTAAGCAGAAAACAGAGAAGAGTGAGGGGACAGAGAGTGAAAGGGAATGTTATTTAAGATAGAGCGGGTCTCCCTAAACTCCTTATTGGAGATATGCTTATGATTATTCTTTTTTATACTAATAATGATAGCCATCATCTTGTACGGAAGGCAGGCACTAAATATTTCATTATCTAATTACCGTCAATTAACCTTCCAATAGCTCTGTAATATAGATAACTTTATCCCCACTTTACAGATGAGAAAATAAACTCAGTGAGGTTAAGTAAGCTGCCTAAAGGCACTTATGTGGTAGGTAGTGGAGCTGGGATTCAAAGTATGATTCTAAATGAATACTAGGCTCTCTTCATCATTCTAGCCTGCTCCCCTAGAAACATTTCCCTTATACTGAGCCCATATCTTTCTCCTTCCCTAGTGGTTTACTTCACCTAGATTTCTAACTCCACAGTAAAGCTCCTTCAAAGTAAGAACAGCAGCTCATATTGGATTCCTCACACTCTAGGCACCACTTGTAGCATGCAGTAAGACTGCAGCTGTTGACATGGGGACTGATTATGTCAAAGATGTGTTCCACATTTGGACAGTTAAAATGTTCATGGGTAGTTAACACCGTGGCACAAAAGAGTGAAAGAACTTGCTGAGGAAAGTCAAATTCAATTGTTTTTGGCAACCTGAGCAGAAAAATACTTTGTGGTACACAAGGAGGCGTGGTATTATCTGCGTTTGCTAACAGTAGCTAGAATATTTGAGTAGCTACTGGCAGGAAAAAAAAAAGGCAACATAACTGGTCCACTGAAGAAAATGCTTCAGCAGTGGCTTCTGCTGCCTTTGACAGCAAAGTCAACCTCCCCGACAGAGACCCCAGGTGCGCTCACCTGTAGCACACGGCTCATCCACTGGAAACTATCTTCCTCGGAAGCGTCAGGTCTTTGTTCCGCAACCACCACGATGCGCTCATCATAAAATACAGACACAGAAAACACAGCAATTCTAAGAGAGACAGATCAAACACATCAGGACTCCCTTCACAACCAGTCCTATTTGCTTTGCTCAGTTGGAATTACAGAGAGGAGATAACCCCACCGCACTGCCCAGGAAGGAGTAGTTTAGAAAAGAAAACGTCACAATCATTACCATCAAAACGAGGACTCAAAAAACGTGTACTGAGCGCCACTGTCGTGAATATTGGGACGTAGCGATAAATAAGCTGAAGTCCCTGTCTTTGTGGAGCTTGCGTGTCAGAGACAGAACAATCACGTCGCGCTATACACCGGGGGACCGAGGCAGGGCAGGGGCGGAGCAGTGTGTGGGTCAGGGGGTTGGGGGGGGCAGGCAGTGCCTCCCTGAGGAGCGGACATTGGAGCAGAGACCTGGATGAGGTGAGGACGCGAGCCGCACGGAGATCTGGAGGAAGAGGTTTCCGGGCAGAAGGAACGGAAAGCGAAAAGGTTCTGAGGTAGGAACGAACTTGGCAGGTTTGAGGAACAGCAAGAAGGTCAGTGTGCCTGGAGCAGGGTGGTGAAGCAGAGAGTGGTGGGGAGAGGTCAGACCCGCCCAGGTGGTCATGGAGGACCTGGAGGCGGGGGGAGGGGTTGCTCTGAGTGAGGTTTCGGCTCAAACGTCCCCCGGCTAGTGAGGCATTCCCAGACTCCCCGTATAACCTGCAGGCACCACCACCCCATGTGTCCTTCCTGCACAGCACTCATCGCCAGCTCACCTAGTCTCTGTTTCCCTATGTGGTTACCTGCTCTTCCCCCAATGAGAATGTGAGTTCCCGCGGGCAGAGACGTGGCCTGTGTTGTTCACTGCCACACCCTGAACATCCAGAACAGTGGCACACAGTTGGCACCCAATAAACGCTTGCTGAATGCATGTATGAAATAATGGGAAGGCACTGGAGGGCTGAGAACGCCAGCAAGCCTGACCACCTCCCTTCCTTCTTTCCTTTCATCCACACACATTTAATGAACACCTACTGCGTGCCAGGGGCTGTGCTGAGTGCTGGGGATGTGACCGTGACCAAAGACAGAAGGTCCAGTACCCCATGGAGTTTACATCTCACAGGAAGCCACACCATTACAAAAAACTATACATTTCAGGAACTGGTTCTCTAGTGGTTTAATTTTTCTACTGCTTCAAAAACTAAGGGACACCAGGATTGCTTTAAAGACATATATCCATGACTGAAAACTACTCAACAGGACATCAATTACTCAAATATATGCCAAATATCTTTTCTTGAGTTAATAAGCAAAGAAAAGAGGATATCTAATTGACTTCATCCATGGAATTTGAAATTAGCACTTATGTACTATGTCAATCTCTACAGTAAAATGGTAATAACTTAGAGTCAAGTAAGAGAACAATTCTTAGATGTAAACTCCTACAGAGTAGCATCTATCTCAATTAGACTGAATGGGGTGACTTCTGTATTGAAGGAATGTAGGAAGTTCAGTGTTTCAGGAATCTCTCCTCAGTCTTCAGGATTCAACAAACAGTAGTAATTAAAAACTGAAATACAGGATATGGTTACAGCCCCTCAATTACAGCCAAAGAACCAGACATTTTAAGATAAATATTCAAAGCCTGGTTTCTGCTACACTTAATCAAAAACAACCTAATCTAGAGCATCTACAGAATACAACTCAAATCACCCTACAGAGGTATCTTTAGATTCCACCAGAAGTGCTAACCTTTGAACTTTGTACTACTCACCTTCCTCTATAAACAGTCTTTATTGATTCAACAGCCAATCCAGTAGCAACAATGTCATCAGCATTATGTCTTCGACCACTAACCATCAGTAACCCATCCATTTTTCCAACCACAAAAACCAAGCTGCCCTGAAAGGTAACAATGATTTACATAATTTAAATAGCAAAACAGACATTTTACTTCCTGCCTTGAAATAAATCTCATAAAAACTGTAGGAAAGAAAATATATTTTATGGATTCTAAAAAAGTGTTTCACATCTCGACATCTCAGAATCAGTGGCATCTTACAATTAATGCGGTCTTAACAGTATATAAGAAGGGAACCCATTCATATTCATTATTTTAAATTAATTAATTAATTAATTAATATTTGACTGCACTGGGTCTTTGTTGCTGTGCGTGGGCTTTTCTGTAGTTGAGCGAGTGGGGGCTACTCTCCGTTGCAGTGTGTAGGCTTCTCACTGGGGTGGCTTCTCTTGTTGCGGAGCACGGGCTCTAGGCGTACGAGCTTCAGTAGTTGAGGCACGCAGGCTCAGTAGTTGTGGCTCGCGGGCCCCAGAGCGCAGGCTCAGTAATTGTGGTTCACGGGCTTAGTTGCTCCGCGGCATGTGGGATGTTCCCGGACCAGGGCTCAGACCCGTGTCTCCTGCATTGGCAGGCGGATTCTTAACCACTGCGCCACCAGGGAAGCCCCATATTCATTCTTAGGGAGGAATTTTATTTTCTTGTTTTTGCCGCACTGCAAGGCACGTTGGGATCCTAGTTCCCCGACCGGGGATTGAACCTGTGCGCCTTGCAGTGGAAGTGTGGAGTCTTAACCACTGCACCACCAGGGAAGTCCCATGGAGGAATTTTATAAGAAAGCAACTAGGTTGCCAAATGAGCACAGTTCATTTTCCCAGCCATGATTATGTGTTAGTTCATTTTCTGTACTTATTCATGGGATGGATGCAGAGGAGAAAATTGTTAGACCATTTAACACTGGAATTAGGAAGAGAGTAAAACAGTTTTAATGTGAGAATGAATGTCTCAGATTTATAAGGGTAATGTTTCCATCTGGTAATATTAGAAATAAGTTAATAAAGAAAGGTCTAAGGAATTGTAGGAGCCTCTCCTTTCCAAAAAAATAAGCGAGCTGCAGGAAAGTCTGCTGTCAATGTCCTCAAAGCATCACTGTATAAATAATTCTATTATTTATTATTTCATATAATTTTTATCAATAATTTTCCCAGACCCATTTGCAATAAATTAACTTTTCCCATTCATTATAGAATTCCTGAATTTTGGGACCATTTACATATGTTAAATTACCTAGTAGTCATCTCCATTTGAATGTCACTAATTGATTTACTAAGCACAATGTAGTGCCATACACTGACTAGGCTTTGTAAGTAAGACATAATCTCTAGCCTCAAGAAGCTACTGGCTCATCCTTCTGTCATCCCAGAAGACAGAAGAAAATCAGCCATTTTCAACACAGTCTGAAAAGTCCTACGGTGGAAGTGAATAAAGAGAACAAGACAGTCTCTGCTGGTCCTCCAACATCTATTTTTCCATTTCTTTCACAGTAGTAGAATTTCTAGCTGGGCATGCATTTCAGCCTCCCTTGCAGCTATGTGTGGCCAGGTGACTAGTTCAGAACAACGAGGTGTAAGTAGAAGTGTTGCTCAGCAGCTTCAGGGAATTTCTCTTAAGAGACAGTAGGGCTACACCCTTTCTTCTGTCCTGTTTCCTGGAATGCAGATGTGATGGCTGGAGCTCCATCTTGGACCTCAATAGTGGAGTGGAAGCTAAAAGGAGCTGGGTCTCTGAGAATTTCTTGGTGCTGAGTGAATAAGTCAAGACAGTAGGTGCAGATGTCTCTTTCTAGGAGAGTGATTCTCTTAGAGGTATGTCCTCCACCCCACCGTCACCCATAAATGGTGGGGAAGAAATAAAATAAAATTAGATCTTTTCTTAATAGAACTTGAACTGTTATGAGGAGAAAAAAGAGAGGGTAAGGAGGTAATTAAGAGATGGAGGGAGGTATGTGGGCTCAACTATGATAATGAAGGTCTATTACTTACAAAACAAAATCCAAACTTCCCATTACGTCATGCAAAGCCCTTCATGCTCTGCCTCTCTGCCTTCCTCACCGGCTCATGAAACTAACTGTGAGCTCTTTGAGAACAGGTTTTGTATCCTAATTGTCTCTGTAAACCCAATGCCTGTAAATACCACCTGCTGAAAAACAAATTGTTTTCATTCAGAGAATTTACTGTTACACCTGGTGTAGTACTGATAATCTGTATGAAAATGATTTGTACACTATTATGGCTTCCCTTTGCTATTGAAGGTTAACTTTTTCAGCACTCTTCTAACTCACTGAAATATATTAATCAAATCAATGCAACATAGGAAGAATAAGTGAAAAGAGTTTTGAAAATAAAAGATAATGTCTTAGTTTGAAGGAATAAAATGAATTTGGGTAACTGGAGCAATAAACATTACTCATTTTATGACATTTTTACAGGAACTGCTCTAAATGTAAGTTAAGCGGCCCTGTAATACTCTTGGACTAATAAGAATTTGTTCTGTGAACTAAAGTACAAATATTTGGATCAGACGCACCAAAACAAATATGAAAGTGTCACTTACTGGCCCTACAAACCCCAGTAATCCCGACCGGATGAACGGTACATCCCCAACAGGAGAGCCTGCGGAATTCACTGGAATCACCTAAAAGACGGAAGAAAGTGAAAATGTTACCTTAAAAAAAAAAGTATTTGATTTTTAAAAAGTCTTAAATAAAAAAAAGAATTTAAAACAGTAATACATGCTTGTTGAAAACTAAAATTATAAAAAATGGTGAATCCAGTAATCCCACCTGCTTAAGACATAACAAACATTTATAATTTGTTGTTTATCTCTCCGGACTTTTTTAGATTCACATATTAACATATTAAGCATTTTTTAAAGGGATCATATTATATATACTATTTTGTAACTTGCTTTTTCATATATTATATGTGTTTCGTACAGTATATGTATTTTGGATACCTTTACAAGTTGGTAATAGCCAATCTAGCTCTCTTTGTACAAGAGTTCTATAATATACCACCACATGGGGGAATGAGATAACATAGCCCTTGGAGTCAGATGTAAGTTCAATTTCTGTCTTTGCCACTTACTAGTAACGTGGGCTTTGGGAAGGTTCCTGTATTTCTCTATACCTCAGTTTCTTTAGCCATAAAATGGAACTCTCAATGCTTACCACAGGCTTAGGGTAAAGATCAAGGGAATATAAATAGATTTGTAGATGCAAGCACAGTGCCTGGCCTAGAGTCGGTACTCAGGAAACCATCAGAATCAGCACTATTAGAACGTAACCAGTCTTTCTGGCTAGGTAGGTCAGTCTAATTTTTCACTATTACGAACAGTGCTTTACTGAATACTGCTGTACATATTTCTGTGCATTTGTACAAAAGGCATGAGTCTTTTCAATTTTAACAGGCTGTCCTACAAAATTATTATAGCAATTTACACTCCACCAATACCGTATTAGAATGTTTTTCCCATACTCTGGCTAATATTACATGTTATCAATTTTTCTAAACTTTGCCAATCTGGTAGGCAAAAAAAGAAATCCCACTGTTGTTTTAGCTGCATTTATTTATTACTAACATGGATGAATTTCTTTTCCTTTGTTTACAGGCCATTTGTATTTCTTTTGTGAATAGCCTAGTCATGTCTCCTGGCTATTATTTCTATTTGATTGGATTTTTCCCTTTAATTTTTAAGATTTCTCTTTTTACACAGGGAACAACTATAACAAGAGCTAACATTTATAAAATGGTTATCATGTGCCAAGCATGGGTGTAAATAGAGTTAATTCTCAAGAAAACCCTATGAAACAGAATTAATATTTTCATTTTACAGATGAGAAAGGCACAGAGAGTTTCATTTGCCTCATATCAAATAGCTAGTAAGAGATGACAATGGAAAATTAGCTCTTTGCATTCGTATGTGTTGCAAAGTTTTTCTCACCAGAAGCTTTTTTTTTTTTCTTTCTGGCTGCACCACGTGGCTTGTGAGATCTTAGCTCCCCAACCAGGGAATGAACCTGGGCCCTCAGCAGTGAAAGCAAGGAGTCCTAACCACTGGACTGCCAGGGAATTCCCTACCAGTAGCTTATTTTTAAAATACACTTTTATTTTTCTAAGCAGCCATTTTTAGATCTTTTGTTCTAGTGAAGTGTTAACCACATTGAAAAGTTCTCTCAGGGTTTAAATATAAGAATCCAATGAGAAAAATATTAGAAACTTTAATTTGCAAAACCAGTGCAACAGTTTTCTTCTCCTTTTTTGGTTAGTATCATTATTGTACTTCACTGTCATTAAATTTATCCTGCAGATTTCAAAATTTCTTCATCACTACGGACCTAGCAGCTTAGTAACAAATCTGAGAATTTTAGCTAGGCACTTGCCCTCCCAGGGGAGGCAACGTAATAAAATATTACTAGTGTCTTCAAACACTGCTTGAAGATCTTATTTATATAAGGAAAATGCAATGAAGAAAAACTCAGATATTGGAAACATATGTAGTCCAAGCACTTAAAAGAGAAATAAGGTGAGATTTAAATTAGTAAAATGTATAAAAACTCAGCAGAGATAATTAGTCACCTGTGAAAGTAAACCAAGAGAATGGCAGTAAACATGTGCCATAAGAGTTTATGAATTGGTCACAACTTTTGAAGGTAGGCCAAGAATGTAGTAGTGATAGTGACAGTGATGGTGGTGATGATGATGATGATGATGGTGGTGGTGGTGGTGGTAATAACAGACATTTAATAATATATATTATGCCATTTTAGGCTGTATAAACATAGATGATGGAGCCTTTTTCAGCCACCACATCACACCACACATATAGATAACACTCTCCTGCCATTTACATCTATTATTACATAATTACATGCACTGATTTTCAAATGGGATGGTAGACAGATGTGCCCTGCCATATTGAGACTGAGAACCACTAGTCTAGGTTATAGAAAAGGGAAGCTCAAAGACTGAAAATTGGCAGTGGGCATATAAGCCCTGTCTAGTGTGAAGGGGACATGGCCCATAAACTGGAGCTCTCTTTTCCCTAAAAGGTACTCTGAGGCAGGTTAATCCCAATTAGGAAATACACACAATTAATTATGCCTGTTCTGATTTCCAGGCTCACCAGGCAAACTTTCATTACAATTTGGCTTCACATGCAGAACTGCCTTCAGAAAAACAATGTGCTAGTTCCCCTGAAATATGAGCTATTTGAGTTTTATGTATTTCCCTGATGTACCACAAGCACGGAGAATAGTGCCAGACATGCAGAAGGTGCTCAATAAATATTTCTCTCACTGAAAGACTGAATAACGGCAACAATCTTCCCCCGTGACAAGCCAGGTTTTCATTTTTCATTAGGAAGCTGGCATTCTGGTTTACATTAGTCTTTACAAGCGTGGTTAACTCGAGTCTACTCTTGAGAGATGGATCCATTCTCACTGCACTCTCAGAATTAAATTTTGGGTCTTATACGCTCAAACTATGGCACATTCACCAGGGTGAATTTCTGTGAGGCCTCTTACTCTTTATATATGTAAGAGATAAACAAGGGCACTTCCTGTGTGCCAGGTACTGGTCTAAGCACTCTATAAACATTAACCCATTTAGTTCTCACAACATTCCTATGGTAGATACTATCATTATTCACATTTTAAAAAGAAGGAAACTGGGGCACAGAGAGGTTAAGCAGCTCAACTAGTGCATGGCAGTCAGGGCTGGACCTCGGGCAGTCTACCTCTGGAGCACACACTCCCAACAGCTACGCTGTGCTATTTCCCATCAGCCAGCTCAGCTGCCCTAGCGACACTGACCTCACGCAACACATTCCCCATGAAACTTTAACGTCACGTACCTCAAATGTATTTTTTGTCACACCAGCAAGCCCAAAGTACATCATGCCTCCTGTTCTGGAGCTGACACAGATTTCTCCAATTTCATCTGTTTTGCAGAGTTGGGGAGGTCCATCGGGTCTCACAATGCACATCATCCCTAGTGTACAGAAAGTATAGTCAAGGGACAGTCTGGGAAACCTTCGAAAAAACAGTCTCATCCTTATGAACCCACAAAAGTTTTACATGCACTGAGTGGCATTAAGTAAGAATACCAAACGGGAATGTTAAAAACAGACCTGATGCTACATAGGTATATCTGAAATTTCCACCTTTCACCCCTGATAATAAAGAATTTTTTAAATTCGGCAAGTAAAACATACAATAGATGCAGACCGAAGCTTTTAAAGACAGTGACTTATTCAAAATGACTGCAAAGTCCAAAGAAACAGGTTAAATTAATTTACCCTTTACACAGATCAAATTCAAACATGCAGGAAGCAACGTACTCTAACTTTCTGCCAGCCCATCGTCTTGGCAATTACAGTGAAAACCGGACAACTTTAGTATCACCCAGTACTTAGCTTTCCATGTGAACAACTGTAACTGAAACATTCACAATTAAATCATCCAATTTCTGCCAGAAATAAGTATGATTAGAATCACTTAACTCTTAGAGAGGCTTTGAGAAATAAAGTGGCTTAGTACTAGATTTTGGATTCCTGGTTTTGGATCTCATATTTTATCAGGCTCCACTATCTCTAAAGACGAACCTTCATGAAACACCAAATGGTGCTCCCGAGAACTCACCCCCGGGCATTACATGTCCCACATCCTGAACCGTCAGTGCTGAATTTTTATCTTCAGTATTGACCCGTATTACCCCATAGCTCAATCCATTCATGGAGAGAATGGCTCTTCCCGGCAAAGGGGCCCCTGGGACTCCAGGCCTGGAAACAAAATAAACTCATGAAATTTGGCAAATAAAATGATACTAAGAGAAAAGTATGAACATGTAGGAAAGGAAATTTCCTCTGGCTACCATACACACAAAAATCCACATTTTTCTCTACCCCAAACATGCCAAATTAATCTAATTTACATGTGCAAAGCATGGTGAACTTTCATTCAGATGGAAAAAGTAAATTTTAATCAGTTGTTAAGAATATACTGGCTTGCAAGGGGAGGGGGAGGGAGCGGGATGGACTGGGAGTCTGGGGTTGGTAGATGCAAACTATTACATTTAGAATGGATAAACAACAAGGTCCTACAGTATAAAAAAAAAAGAAGGGATATAACCAAGTCACTGTGCTGTACAGCAGAGACTGGCACAACACTAAATCAACTATACTTCCATTAAAAAATAAATAAATAAAAGGAATATACTGGCTTGAGTGTACTCTCTATATAGGTACTTTGCATATACAAGCTACAACCAAGAACAGTCTACTTGTAGTCTAAGATGCTAACTAAGGATTCTGAAGGGCAAAACAAGACAGAAAAATAACTAATTCACAAATGTGAGATGATAATAACTAAAGTAAAATTTCAGTTTACCAGTTACACTTAGGGCAAGAGTGGGAAAAATAAATGAGATGCTTTAAGCTGCTTTACAAAGTCATTTTCACGTTCAGGATTATGAAGCAGAAGATTAGGTCACACCCCTTGTCATCATCTGGTCCACTCTGCACATTTGATCAAAGTTGTAACATACATCAAGAGCACTGACATTCTGAACGATACCTGCGGATTGCGACCGTCATGGCTTCGGCAGAAGTAGCACATGGACAGATGGCCTCAGGTTTCAGACCATGGCTTTGGAACAGACTCAGGAAGGCATCACAGGACGACACAGACCCTGAGGAGTTGAAACAGATCAACTTGAAAGCTGAAAATATGATTTTCATTACTGCAGGAAACTGGTAAAGAATAGAAAGCCGACACATCTGTACACCATCAATTCCATGCAAATATTTTACTGTGCCTGTGAAATGGTTGATAGGCTTCAAGGACAAACAAATGCTCATCTAGCCCATGAAAGGTCAGCGACACTACCGAAAGTTACAACTTAAAATAAGGCTGCTCCTACCAAACTGCCCAATCAATAGCAGAGATGCACTGTAGGCAACAGGTAGCCAGTTTGGAAGCAAGCAACTCTTCCTGAAGTAACTACTGCAGTTTAGCCAGTGCATTACTAATACTCTGGCTTAGTTCCATCCTGTTCATGTATTCTCTGACTTGTTTCTTACTAAGGTCAGTCCCAGGTTTGTGTTTTATACCAAGATGATCATTGTGAGTACTGACAAAAATCCACTGATGACAAAGAACATAGTAGTATCTAATGCTTTACCTGATTCTATCCTGTGGAGGCTCAAGATGTTTATGCTTGTCAGGAAAAGCAGGCAACACAGTAAGACCTCTAAAGGCTTTTGCAAACTCCTTAGATTTGGTGACAGGGAATTTACATAAAGTCCAGACACTTGGCTATATCAAGTTACCTTCTCATAGCTCTTTTTAGTTACATGATAGAGAAAGGACCTAAATGAGTGAGCATGGAGTGGTTTTAAAAGCTTACAGATCCATCAAATGATGAATGACTATATAAAATGTAGTATATCTATACAATAGAATATTATATGGCAATATAAAGGAATAAAGTACAGACACAGGCTACAACATGGAGGGACCTTGAAAACATGCTAAGTGAAAGGAGCCGGTCACAAAGGACCACATGTAGCATGACTACATTTATGCGAAATGTCGAGAATAGATAAACATACAGAGACAGGGAGTAGATTAGCAGTTGCCTAGGGCTAGGGCACAGAGGATGGGAAATGGGGAGTGACTACTAATGGGTATGGGGTCTCTTTTGGGGAAGATGATGTTCTAAATTCAGGTCAATGGTGATAGCTGTACGACGCTGTGAATATACTGAAACCATTGAACTGTACTTTATTTTTTTAAATTTTTTAAAAGATTTTTTTCTGATGTGGACTATTTTTAAAGTCTTTATTGAATTTGCTACAATATTGCTTCTGTTGTTTTATGCTTTAGTTTTTTGGCCAGGAGGCATGTGGGATCTTAGCTCCCCGACCAGGGATCGAACCCACACCCCCTGCATTGGAAGGCAAATTCTTAACCACTGGACTGCCAGGGAAGTCCCCCATTGAAGGGTACTTTAAATGGGCAAGTTTTATGGTATGTGAATTATCTCTCAATATAGATATAAAAAAAAAAATGCTTACAGAAAGGGCATGAAAACCTCAGACTACCAAAGGAAAGGATATTCCCAGACTGACACTCTAGAAATACTCACAGGGATTAGCTCCGTCAGTCACAATCAACATGCGGAGGGAGCTCAAGCTCACATCTCTTTGGTCCCGATGTGCCATCATAGCCCAGTGCAAGTCTCGGCATTTTACTAAAGCAACCTTGGCTATAAATGCAAAAGAGATAAAGTCAATACACACATGTTAAATTTGGTAGATATTATTATAATAAAAACATTTTTACTTATTTTAGGAATCATGATTTTCACTTAGAGAAAAATAAAAAAGGTTTCAAAGAAATTGTTCCAGGTGCTCTGAGGCAGTGGCGACTGACTGGACACACGACTGCCTTGCTCACTGTGACCTGCAGGCAGACCTCGTATCCTAGCCAAGGAAGCTTCGAACACCAAAGCACCCAATAAATCTAATTCAGGGCCCAGATTCAGGCACAATTCTTAAGAATGGACATCAACTGAGATGAACTAGACAACATATCTAATTTTTTAATAACCAAACTCTAAAACCTGTCAAGGCACCAAGGCATAGAATTATGTGTCTAGAAGAGCAATTTGAAAATCCCTGAAACTGCAAATAGTCACATAATCAAAGCTTAGATGCTGTGTGTAACTACCTTTGTGGGCATGTACTCTTTGGACCCAAGAGAGAGGGCAAGTCTTCATAACAGAATAGGGTACACTAATTGTATGCATCTTATTCATTACATTCTGAAAAGCAAAGAAAAAGATAAAAAATAATCAATACCTAATACATACTTAGCATTTTAAAACTGAACTGATATTTTGTTAACAATTTTAACCATACAATACTCAAACACATGCTCTTTGAAAAAAATTGAAAATATTAACTATAAGGTTGAAGCCTCCTTTGCTACCTATTCTCAAACCTGGTTCCCTTCTTTCCTCCTCAGAGATAATCATTGTTATGAATCTGCCATGGATCCTTCCAGTCTTTTTCCCATGTATTTACTTATATATTCATCCCCAGAGAAACATAAAAGTATTTTTAACATAAAAGGCATCATACTATACATATATCTACAACTTCCTTTTTTTTTTTTTTTTTTGCGGTAAGCGGGCTTCTCACTGTTGTGGCCCCTCCCGTTGGGGAACACAGGCTCCGGACGCGCAGGCTCAGCGTCCATGGCTCATGGGTCCAGCTGCTCAACGGCATGTGGGATCCTCCCAGACCAGGGCTCGAACCTGCGTCCCCTGCATTGGCAGGCGGACTCTCAACCACTGCGCCACCAGGGAAGCCCCAACTTGCTTTTTTTTCACTTAAATTGTTCTAGAGCTAAATCTATGTACATCAGTATAAGAGATCTATACAGTTTTTTTGACCTGCTGCATAGTATTCTATAGTATGACTGTACCACAATTTATTTGGGCATTTCCCTATTATTGACAGATTTTTTTTTTTGCAATTACAATGTTTCAAGGAACATATTTATACTCATTTCCCTGGCATGTGTGTAAGTGTTTCTCTAGGGTAGGTACAGAAAATTTGTACTGCTGAGTCACAGGATGTGTGCTTTTACCACTGAACAGATAACTGCCAAACTGCTCTCTAACCCTCTAAGTGCTTTCATCATGTTTATGCTTGCCACATACCACAAAGGGCTGGGTCTTACAAAGCAAGAAATCAACGTTTTCCTGTCGCTTACCGGAGGTCCTGCCCAGACCTGTTAGGTGTTTGGGTAGATAAAGCTGAGTAACCTGAGGGGGTCATGCAATGTGGTGTCTCTCCTGCCACCCAAACCGAACATACCCAGGACCCCCTGTCCCCAAAGAGACCCAGCCTGACAGAGTAGTTAAGTCTTGGTACTTAGACTAGCCATTTTGTTCACCACCCAAGTGGCCCAAAGATACCAAAATACCACTGTAAACCTCTTTTTCCTCCCTCTCCCAAGTTTCTAGCTATGGTGACAAACTTTTGGATTCAGGGAAAGAATGGTGTGTATAACTAATTCTTCACGTGTCCCTATCTTGCTCTGTGTATCAGAGAGAGAAGATTCCCTCTAACTCCTCACAAGGGTTTCTTAACCACTGATAAAAAAAAAACAAAATGGGAAGGACTTTAGAAAAGAGCAAGAAAGCATGTATGCTCAAGGAATAAGGGTTTTTGTTTTTGTTTTTTTACTAATTTGAGGAGTCCTGGGAGAAAAGGGAAACTGCTCCTCTTCCCCATGCTTCATTTCCTACTCTTTCTCTGACTCCTGCAATGTGTGAGGAGATACTCTCAAAGGTTCCTTCAACTGTAGGATACTGTATCTCTTCTCTCTCCCCTCCTAATCAGCATGCTCCATATGTAGCTTTTCCCACTTGAAATGTCCCCCCTTCTACTTCCACCCCCCAAATACCTCTATATGGCTACATCTTACCCATTTTTCAGTCCAACTCAACTGTCACCTCTTCCATAAAAATTGAGGCCACAGCTGGGAGGAAGTCACCTTTTTCTAACTCCCTTAGGATGGTACCTGTTCCTCTATTATGGAAAGCAGTCTCATCTACCTTGTTACTCTACTCTTTCATTGCAGCATGGACTCATTCAAGACATTTTGTCCAATGGAAAGGTTAGATATTATTAAACACAGTTGCAAAGTTCCAGATATATTTAAGTAATCTTTTCTTCAGAAAAGAGAAGAGGTGACTCTCATAGTTTTTTGAAAATTATAAATAAAAATATAGCCATTTGTAGAAATTTTTAAGCTTTGAGTCATCATAGCAGATATTTAAAGGATTTTTGATCCTAAGTTCTCCTATATACTATTATGTGAAAGGTATACCCAACCACACAATAAAAAAAACAGAATTACATTCTCCTTTAAAAAAAATTACCATTCGTATCACAAAATCAAATTCCCCTGGAAAATACTACTGATCTTTTAGGGGCTTAAATTTCAAACAAGCACTGAGTGATGCTGTGGTTACAAAGCACACACAGTGACCTGAATCATAAGCACAATTTACACTAAAGGCCTTGATTCTGTGTAGCTTACCGCAAACATGCCATGCCACAGCCCAGCATCCTTCTTAAAGTCTAAAACATTTACTACTGTTTCCCCTAAAATAGAAAAAAATAGGAAAAAACACAAGGAAATCATCTTTAGTGTTAAGTAGCAAAATTATGTCACTTGCCTCTATCAAACAACTGATTTGGTACTTTGAAAGAAACCACTAAAAGTTCTCAGGGTCTTCTAATTACTTGAGGGTACCCTCAAACTGGCTGGGGGACTGATCACAGGGTGACGTGGTCACAGAAGAAACAATGAGTTTGGAATTCCTTGACTTTGGCACTGTCTTCGAGATAATAATTTTTTCCTAATTATATAAGGAACACATGTTTGTTTTAGAAACTCTGGAAGTTTCACAAGCATATGTAAAAAATTATACTTCCTAGAGAAAACAAAAAATGTTGGTGTATGTATATATATGTTATATCTACATACATGCACATATAATTCTAAGCTTATATACTTATAATGCTTATATAGAGACAGATACTTGACTAACAAAATTGGCACATACTGCTCTGTATCTCATTTGTTTCCACTTAATGATATACTGAAACAATCTTTAATATTCAAGAAAATGAGTTTTAATACCTCAGCATATAACCCATTATATGAATGTATTATATAATAATCAACTGCATTTGTTGGCATTTTGATTGATTTCATTACACACACAAACATATATATTTTTAACCAGACAAGAATGCAGCTCTGTACTGCTGCTATAATGAGCATGTATTAACTTGTTTCATTCTATGAAAGGAAAATAAAACACTAAAAAAATTAATATTGTGAAGAACATTCTAAGGGAAATAGTCATTACACAATATATATCAACACATCTAAAGTCTAACAACCCAGAATACATTTTTGTGTTTTAATTTGTGTTTTTTGGTAGCAGAATTTCTTTGACTCTAACTCCATACAGCTGGTGGCAGCTCTAACGCATGGGGAGATGGAGGTACCTGACATTCTGTGGCTAATAAGCACATGGTTTTAATTAGTTTTCTATTTCTGCACTCTAGAAATCATGCTTTACATATTTGGTTTGCCCAGAATTCTAGTTTCTTTAAATCACAGCATATTTGTGAAAAAGAAGAAAGCAAGCCAAGAATGTGTCTTAGAACATTTCCCTCTGAATGCAGTCATTAACTGGAGTCCAGTCACCGAGCACTCTGCTCGAAGTCACACAGATCTGAGCTCACAGTGCAGGCAGTCACGGGGTGAAGTCTGACCTTCAGAATAATTGCAGGCCTGGGACAGAGCTTGGCAGTGAGACAGCATTGCAAGGCGGGACACTGTAACTCCCATTACACTCCCTTCTTTGCTTGTTTTATACTAGGAAAAAAAAACACAAAAACAATAACACAAGAAACAACAAAATGGGTTATTTCAAATGACAAAACTAGAATCCAAAAACGAAACCCCGAAAAGCCATGATGATGGGCTGAATTTAACGTTTCATATAAATATCTGAGGCTACGCACTTGGGCCCCAAACTCTAATCACACAAAGATAGGACTGGGTAATGTCAAAGCTCAACACAAGTATGTGTGAAAAATTCTTAAAAGTTTAATTAGTTGTCAGTGTGAAGTGGCTGCTAAAGAAGCTAAAGCCACCATGTGACTTCAGCTGGGTTAACAGCAGCACAGTATCAAATACACGGCAAGAGCAAGAGCTAAAGGTGTGGAAGTGTGGTCCCTGTCTATCAGCAGCTCCCGGCTGGGAGGGGAGACTGGGAAATGGCCTATTCACTCCTCCAAATCAATCAACTATAATTTCGCTTTTACCTCGATGCTCCATTCAAGTTGCTTTTTACCAAGATCAGTCACATTTTTATTGTTAAATCAAAAGCACATACTGCAAACGTCACTTTATCAGACCTTTCCGTAACATCTGACACCTCCTTTCTTGACACTTTCTCCTTCCTTGGCTTTTCTGATACTCCTCTTCCTATTCAATACTCTCTCTCTCTCTCCTTTCCCTCCACCTCCTCTGCCCATCCCCTGAATGTTGGCATTCCCTGAACGTTCTGTTCTTCCTCTTCTCTTTTCACTTTAATTCATCAGGGTACCACATTCCTGATGACTCCCAATTCTCTACTTCCAGTCCAGACCTCTCTCCAGAGATCCAGACTCAGAGGGTCAACCCTTCCCCGCGAATGACCTGTACTCCTGTGAAACGCAGCCAACACCACCCCTCTACCTTTCGCCCATGAAAACTTTTCTGGCTGTACTTCCTATCTTAGTGAAGGATGCCATCCATCATCTATCCAGTTGCCCAAGTCAGAAACCCAAGTGTCTTTCTTGCCTCCGCCCTCTCCAGAGTTAGTCACTAAGTCCTGTCTCTTCTATTTCTTACTGTATCTCAATTCCATCCAACCACTTTTCTCCATCCCCATCACCATGAACTTGGGCTCACCTGGATAACTGTAAAAGCTCCCCATTTCCCTTCTTAACTCCACCAAACAGATAAATCTTTTAACAACATATTTATTCTTGTCGCTCTTCTGCTGACAACCCTTTAAAAGCTCCTTATTACCCACAGGATACTTGAGACTCACTAGCAATGTCCTGTGGGTAATAAGAGGGTTCCAAGTGAAAACTGCAAGTTAATTCAGAATAGCAGAAGCATAGAAATGTAGAGGACAGTAGGTCTACATGAGGTCAGAGAGCTAAGCAGGGGCCACAAAATGAAGGGCACTTTACCTTTTAGGAAGAACCAATAAAGAAGACTGAAAAGGAGTGGTCAGTGAGTAGTCAGGGAAACCAGTGAGCAGTTTTAAGGGGGATGAAGGGGTGAACCATGTCATCACTGGGAGATGATAATGGACTGAGAGCTCACTGCTAAATTTGGTATTTTAATCGCCTGTTTACTTGTCTGTCATTTAAACGTACCCAGATCCCTTCCATCGTTAAAAGCAATCCTCCTTCTATCCAACATCACCACGTTACCTCAAAGCTACTGCCCGCTCTCTTCCCTTTTATAGCCAAAGTTATCACTACAGGGCTCAAGCTGGGTGGATTTTTTTCCCCAAACTTTTTTTAAAATTTATGGATGTTTATTCATTAATTTAGCAAACAGTTGGTGAGCATTTACTAATATGTCTCAAGCAAGATGCAGAGTACTCAAGGGCATAGCTTTTAGAGTGAAACAGATATGAGTTTGAGTCCGAGCTCTGTCAACTTTGAGTCAAAGGTTTTAGACAAACCTTTGGTTGGTTACTCAAGTTAAAGTCTTAGTCTCCTCAGGTACTAAGCAGGTTTAATAACAGCCCCCCACCTCACAGGGTACTTGTGAGGACTGACTGAGATAATGTATATAAAGCACTTGGCCTGGGCTTCCCTGGTGGTGCAGGTTTAGAATCCGCCTGCCAATGCAGGGGACACGGGTTGGAGCCCTGGTCTGGGAAGATTCCACATGCTGCAGAGCAACTAAGCCCCGTGCGCTACAACTGCTGAGCCTGTGCTCTAGAGCCCGCGAGCCACAACTACTGAGCCCATGTGCTGCAACTACTGAAGCCTGTGTGTCTAGAGCCCGTGCTCCGCAACAAGAGAAGCCACTGCAATGAGAAGCCTGCGCACTGCAACAAAGAGTAGCCCCCGCTCGCCGCAACTAAAGAAAGCCCACATGCAGCAACGAAGACCCAACACAGCCAAAAATAAATAAGTTAAAAAGAAGTAAAAGTAAAAAAAAATAAAGCACTTGGCCTGGTGCCTGGTATGCAGTAGGACTTAATCCCTCAACTGAGTTATGTTATCAATCAGTCAAGTTCCTACACTAACCTTCAATAACAAACCCTCTAGCCATCTGTTTCTTCTTGCTCTTTATCTGTTAAATTTGTTCTTTTTTTTTTTTTCGGTATGCGGGCCTCTCACTGCTGTGGCCTCTCCCACTGAGGAGCACAGGCTCCGGACGCGCAGGCGCAGCGGCCATGGCTCACGGGCCCAGCCACTCCGCGGCATGTGGGATCTTCCTGGACCGGGGCACGAATTCGTGTCCCCTGCATCGGCAGGCGGACTCTCAACCACTGCGCCACCAGGGAAGCCCTAAATTTGTTCTTTTCAAGCACAGCTATTTGTCCTCCTCATTTCTCCAGTCTCTTGCTTCCCATCACCCCACACCACTCCCATCCCCAAAGCAGCAGAAAAATATCTCTGCCAGTAAAGCATTTCTTAAACCTCTGAACTTCTCTAAGTCTTTTGTAACTTTCTTATATGACAAGGATCAATTTCTTTGTTGTCTTTCTCTTGAATATGTATTTATGTTCAAAATAATTAGAATAGAAGGGCCACTGTAAGGCATTTTACAAGCCAAAAGATGGAAATCTAACAAACCAGGAGGATCTACTAACATTAAAACTACAAAAAGTTAGTTTTAAATTTTGTGGGACAGCAATTGAAGCCAAAGGAAAAGCCACAATGTACATCCTAGTCTCAGGACTTACCTCAATGTATGCTGGTTCTGTACCAGCAGGTGAGATGTGGGGTTGCCAGTCTTTAGGTGGCTTTGAAAGGTACTTGGAATCTGTTACAACCCATTTGAGCCGAGGCCAACCTAAATCAAGCCCAAAATAAAAATTGAATTGCCTAAGCCATCAGGAAAGGAGTTCACAATGAACTGGTCATTTTAAATATCAAGAGACCAAATCAAGGTCATTTTATAATCAGTAAAATATCTTTATTAGTGTTTAGTTATAAATCACCAGACAATTATACCTTCTTTCAAAAGTACAATCGTTCCACATCCTAATTCCAGGCCTTGACATTACCTCAACTGGGAGGTCCATTTGGCAGTGGAAGTCCACTGAGGTTAGTGGTCTATCCTCTGTCTCTACATGTAGCATTTAGCTTTAGTGAACAGAGTGGTAGCTTTTCCAACCACCAGCCTAAAGGTTAAGGGTGTGGGCTGTGGAATCAGACAGATTTGGGTTCAAATCGCTGCTCTGCCATACATTGGCTGTGACTTTGGGCAACTTACTTAACCTCTTTGTGTCTCACTTTCCTCACCTGTAAAATGGGGATAATAATGGTACCTACTTCATAAGATTGTGAGAATTAAATAAGAAAATATACGTTAAGTACTTAGTTATTATTAAATTAAAACACTAATTGGAGCACTCAGCTTTAATTTTTAACTGATAATTCAGGTACAAATATTACTAACCTTTAAACTGTACAATTTCTCCATTCTGGGTTTTTGGCAATCCCTTTAGACAAACTTCACTGGTAAGAGCTAAGGCAATACCACAGCTTCCCAGCAAGAAGCCAATCTGCTGCCCTCCAGCATCCTGTGGAGAAAAGATAATGAGCAAGGTAGGGGAGTGAACGTGAGCATACTGAAGCCCAAAACCTGACACTTAGTCACACTCTGGCACTTGTGTGACACATTCATGGAACCCCCTGATATCTGGCAATTGTCAAAATCCAGTGACAATATGTTCTTCCAAATAATTTCTACAACACAATGATTTCCTGAGTGCAAATCACATTTTATTAATCTGACATTGCTAACGATGAATTCCACCAGCCAAATGTGACCATTTTAGTTAATGGTCAGCAACACTCCTCTTTTAGATTAATCTTAGGAAATGAAATAAAAGTGAACATGGTTAAATTGTCTTGACCTAGCCATACCTCCAAATCCAAAAGCAAAGCAATTCAGGTCAGAACAAAATAAATAATGTAAATGGACACCAAATGTACAAATTTACAATGAAAGTGAATGGACGGTTATACCCAGGTCCATATAGTCCTCATTATTCTATTTTAAAGGAGGTTGATTTAAGCCTTACAGCAATAGCCGAGGAAGAAACCAAAAGAGATAGCCTAAAGCATTTCCATTAAAATTTCATCTTAAAAGTATCATTATAAAACCACATAAACATTGCCAACTTAATAACTTAAGAACAACCCTATGATTTCCTGACCAATCTAAAGATACTATACCCATCAACCAGAGTTTCAGGGATGCTACCAATTTTTTTATTCCTTTCAGAAAATAATTTTTTTCTTATAAATCCATAGTCTCCACCATATTTGTCTTCACCATCAACTCCCAATAATAAACTGCACGAGAAAATTAGGGTCAAACAGCTCATGGAGAAATCATTCGGTTAAATTTTGACATCTGCCACATATGCTTATTTTAGTAGGATGGATGTGTGGTCAAAGTAAATTCTGTACCCCAGAGTAGTAACACAACATCACTGCATCGCCCTTCGACTTAATGGAGGCCCTAGATGTTATGACACAGTTAAGGGAAATCCCTTCACAGGAAGGTTTCACCTATTGTAAATGTGGATTATCTATAGTCTCTGACGCAAGAGTGGTACTTTTTTTTTTAAGATTTTTTTTTGATGTAGACCATTTTTAAAGTCTTTATTGAATTTGTTACAATATCGCTTCTGTTTTCTGTTTTGTTTTTTTGGCCCCAAGGCATGTGGGATCTTAGCTCCCCGACCAGGGATCAAACCCACACCCCCTACACTGGAAGGCGAAATCTTAACCAGTGCACCACCAGGGAAGTCCCGAGAGTGGTACTTTTGTTGTTGTTGTTGGCTGTACCACGTGGCTTGTGGGTTCCTCGACTAGGGATGGAACCTGGGTCCACGGCACTGAAAGCCCGAGTCTTAACCATTGGACCGCCAGGGAATTCCCGAGTGGTACTCTTTATAAATGGTAATCGTTGAAAAGTCAAGTATGTCCCCATAACTTTTAAGTGATATATAATACTAGAAAAATTCTATCTTGGTTGAAAACAGGTTATTTTCATGAAACATAAATATTCATAAATAAATTTTCTACAACTTTCATGTTTTTAGAAAGTGAAGCTAAGTACTTAAGAAAATGGTCAGACTATTTTTTAATGTTGTAACTGAGTCAACTGATCCAAGAACCCAATGCCTGCCATGTCACATCAGGCTACACTTCTCTTAAATTTAGCAATGTTACCTTTCTGGTAAGAGGTACCTCTATAGGCACTGGAATCACTTCGGCCAGGAGACATCCATAAAAAGCCACCATAAACATGACTGGATCATTGTTGGGGTAAACCAGGGCTACCTATAACACATAATGACATTCAATACAGAGGAATAAGAGGAGACTAACGCTTTCAATGCCACTAAGTGATAGATTTATATATGACATTTAGCATGAACATAATACATCAAACTATTTAATGGCCTAAAGAAAATTAAGTTATTCACAAGGATGCACACTCTCTGTCATTCCCATGATTATACTAGGCACAATTCGGGGACTATAATGCAATTCATCATCATCACCATAAGAATTTTTCATTTAATTCTATTGGTGATTTAGCAGTAAACAACTCACCTTCAGTAGTAAGTTAATTACTTAGAAAACCTAAGGCAATTTACTTTAGTGCAGGGCTAAAGCAATAAAATTAATGTGATGGATCTCTCTAGATAGACTAACGTATTAAAGAATAAGCCTTGTATCTCTCAGAGAGAACCTACAAGAACTGATGGACTCAATTACCACCTTAGGGCAAACCTAAGGTTTCTTACTTTTTAACAAATTCATTGCATTAATCCTTACTCACTTAACCAACAATGCAAGTACACTAGCAAGAAGGCATTTGGTAGTAGGCATAAGCAATACTGGGAGAAACCATTATGAATATAAAGTTAATTCATTTACAAAAGATAAACAGTGAAACCTCCAAAATATGTTCAAACCTGTGATCTCACCTGTAATGCATCAGAGATAACTGACCCTTCCTAATTTCCTCAAGGAATGCGAAAACACAGAAGTCACGATTGTTGTGGAGTTTGCTCCTTGGCTTGGATATTCACAGATTAACATTTGAAACTTAATTATGTCATTGGGCTTTTGTTTCTCCCTTTCTTTCTCTCACTTACAAATTCTCTTAACTTACTCCCAAGATAAGTTCAGTTCTGAACCTTCTAGAGTTCTAAAAAAAATACTAAATGCACAAGACATTTAAACACCCATTTCCTTTCTGCACACAAGTGTCCATGTTGTTAGGAAGACACGAAATTACCTTCTTAGGGTTCAGTGAAGATTATGCTATACTCACGAGTCATACTTAAAAGTAAAAGCCATACTTTAGATGCCCTTCGCCAAAATGCAGAAGTATTAATATCTTTAAAAGGCTAGTTTAGGAAATTTTGTAATCGTGAGCCTACTAAAATGAATTCTGTTGTGTATGTAGCTGGTGTTTCATTCTACAAGCCCAAATGAAAAGTAATATTTGATGATAAGAAGTAATTTTATTTAGAAACTGAATAAAACCTTTAAATACTGAAAAAAATTTTAATGTCACCTCTAATTTAAAAAGAAATTAATGATGTCAATTTGTTTCTTCTTAGAGGTAACATAAGTCTCCCTCCCTGTCCACACAAAACCCCAGAATATTGTTTTGAAAGTTTTATGGGGCATTTTTCAAAGAAAAAAATCAAAGAGTAAACTTGATTGCTATTTTTGTTGTCTAAATATTGAAATATTTATTTACAGAAAGATTTAGGTTTCTCTTTATTTTCATTAGTAAAGAGACATGTGAATATCCTTCAAACTATAAATGCAAGAATTATAACCTGGGTTGGAACCAAACCATTTTCATTTTCTAAGAGTAAGAGTTATATAAATTGTGCTGTTGTACATTAAAAATCCAGAATGTGCATGCTAGAAAACAATAAACATCACCTCTCTAAAACAAACAAACAAAAAAACACAACCAAACAAACAAAAAAACCAATTACCCTGTCTCCAGGTTTTAATACAGGTTCATTTTTGGTCCCCAGTTTATTAAGCAGTGTGTAGGCCAACTTTAAACTTCTGCTCCACAGCTTCCCTGGAAAAAGAAAACAGTCATATAGAAAAACACAGGCCTACTTCAGCAAGAGGGCATTCAGTTCATCAGCACACCAAATGAGATAACGGCCACTAGCAAATGATACATTAGACAAGCATCACCCTCAACACACAGAGAGGCCCTCCGCCACAAAAACTGCTTTACAGTCACTCTAGTTTACGAAAGCCAGTGCTGCCTTCAAGCAAAAATGAAACATCACCGAAAGCTCACTCTGATTTAGATAATATTTCAAATTCTTCTCTGAAGTAATGTGAATATCTTTAGAAATAATTTGATGTGAGCTGATCAGATTTAAAGGGAAGGAAACAAGTTTTTATCACAGGACTGAAAATCAGAAGACAGCTTCTTTCTAAGCTTTTTCTGAAGAAACACTTACACATATGATACTGGATACCTGAAGTAAGTGCAAAGCAAAAGTACGCCTCAAATGACTGAGCATTCCATACCACTGTATTTCAGTGAAAACAGACAATAAAATGGAAATTAACTATGTGAAACATGTGGATATAGTCAAAGATGTTAAATAAACATGTAAAGATTTGGCTAGCTGACTGCTTTCTTAAAGGGTACATGGATGAGATTAATGTACAGTTTCTGAAATGAATGCTAAAAACAATTTTAGGGGGAAAAGTCTATTGTTCCCCTCTTCCTGCTCCTTTCCCCGACCACCCTTAGAAATTCTTATTTTAGATTATGAAGAAAGTAAAATCATTTTATTTTGCAAAGATATGTTAGTTTTACACACAACTCATTCAGAGGGGCATTGAAGATGGAAACTCATGTCAATCTGTACAATTCTTTAAATAAAAACTATTTCTCTAAAATATTCTATATGGAGATCTATGGACAATGTATACCACTTGTGAAGGTTGAAAAAGGAATCTGTCTGAATAAACTAGTACAAAATCTCACAGCCCAAGTTGAATCCATTCTTCTTGTTATTTAAAAAAAGAAATAATAAAAATAAAGTTATTTTAAAAATTTATAAAACAAAACTAAATGGAAAAGTACTGATTCTTTGTTCATTATAGAATTTTGTGCCTATTACGCAAGAGGCAGGATGAAGTAAATGACGAAGATCTAAAAAGTAACCAATTTCAATTTTTAGATAAAACCACCTGATTTTTACCATATGCTATTAATCCTGCCCAAATGTCTTCCTAAAATCCTCTCCTACGGTTTGAACATCAGTGGATCTAAAAAGTCTCTTTCTTCTTTTAAATATCAGCTGGCTTGCAACAGTCCCTTTAGCAAAAGAAAATATTTGGCAACAGCTGTACTTAGAACTTAGGATCCTATTAAAATAATTTAAGAGATCTAGTGAAACAAAATGACCAGTAACTGCTAAATGGCAAGAATAAAAACATTACCCATGATAATCTGAAGAACTATTAGGAGAAAAGAAAGGAACTGGACTCCTGAAACTCACCATAAGTAAGAGTGTAAATTGGTTTCCCTGTTACGTCCAGTGCAGTCAGACAGGGGCATTTTGCCTGAGTGGTGCCCCAGCGCTGCAGGGCAGACTCAAGAGCAGGAGGCCAGTTACAGATGACTCCTAATGGCTCTCCCTTCACAGGGGTCATCTGCCGTCCCTCAGGCTTGGGTTGGTTGGGGTCTGGCTGAGGTACTGTACCAAAACAACCCCAACAGGTTATGAAAATAAGATCTGAAGTAAGTACAAATACCAACTAACACAACTTAGGTCTCTAATCTCAAGTATATTTCCCCTTTCCCTTTATCTTTATCTGGCTTAAACTCACTCTGAGAAAATAAAGGACATCGTTAGAAATAGTAACCCACAAACTGGGCCTTAATTCATTTCCCCACATAATCGTAAAATCATATTTAATATATTTTACACAACAAATCCTGACCCTGACAAAGCAAATGCCTGAACGTTCAAAAAAACACAAAGTATACATTTCTGTTTAGCAATTTTACAATTTTTAGTAAGCTTGTTTTTAGACCTTTAGTTTGTGTCCAATGTTAGAAAGCCAGGTTCCACCTCACCAGATTATGTTTAATGATAAAGCACTGAACTATGAATCAGAAAACCCAAGCTTACATTCACTTTTTACTAGTGTGACCTGAGGCAAAAGGAGTTACCCCAGCCTCAATTTTCCTCATCTATAAAATGGGGATACAACAGGGTCATATTGGACTCAGGCAGACAATGGGCATGAATGACAATGTTCCTTCCATGTCTCTATACCTCTGTGCACATCTCATATGCCCAATCCCTTTGCCTCCTGGTGAACTTGCACTCATCCTTCTCAGGATGCAGCTCTAATGGTACCTTCCCTGGGAAGCCGCCCGGGGCCATTCCTTCCTTAGTGCTTCCACACTGTATGCTAGTGCACCCTTATTAAAGTACTAAGGATGCTCAAGAGCATCTACTACTCTATAATTTTTTCTCCCCCTTTGACTGAGAACTCTTTTTTTTTTTTAAAATTATTTATTTATTTGGCTGCTCTGGGTCTTAGTTGCGGCACACAGGACCTTCGTTGCGGCACGTGGGATCTTTAGGTGCGGTGTGCGAACCCTTAGTTGCGACATGTGGGATCTAGTTCCCTAACCAGGGATCGAACCCAGCCCCATGCATTGGAAGCGTGGAGTCTTAACCACTGGACCACGAGGGAAATCCCTTGACTGAGAGCTTTTTGAGAGAAGACATGGTTCATATTCCTCTTATTGCCTAGAGTGCCTAATACATAATGGTTGCTCAATCAATGTTAATTAAATTGAACTGAACTTGGGGGGCAAAAAAGAAAAGCACTGGGATCATTAACATGGGCAATTCCAGAAACTGGAGGTGACTAATATTTCATATTCTTTCATATAGACAAAACTTAAGTCCTCTTAATTTTTCTACAATAAACAAGTATTATTCAAACATTAAAAAGCAAAAAAAAAAAATCCTGTATTTTCATAGCAGGAAAGATAATTTACATATGGAACAAAAGGCCAAGTATTCACTGAGTGCCAATTATGTGCACAAGATGTGATAAACATTGAGAAGATAAATGCTGCACATATTCTTTGAACAAACATTTATTGCTTCTAATAATGCCGGGTACAAGGAATACACGGTCCATGCCCTCTAGGAGTATCCAGACAGTGGGGACACACTCACACAGAGCTAAGTAAACATGACCAGTGCATGACAGAGACAGGTACAGAGAGGGCAGAAGAAGGCCATGCCACCCAGCTTAGGGGATGGGGTCTCCCACCTGGAGGAGGTAATGCCTGAGCTGAGTCTTAAAGGGAGGGGAAGGGTAGGGATTAGCCAGGCGAGTAGGAGAAGAGAGAAGCATTATAGAAGAGAGAACAGATGGAACGAGCAGCAAGTATTAGAAGGGCAAATGAAATATGAAATAAATTTTATTTTACAGCTCAATTTAGTGACAGGTTGGGGAAACTTACTTAAAATGTCATTCATTTTTCTACTGATACAAAACTTAACAGTTTCACTTCCCAACTCACTGCCCTAGGTAAATAACATTTGCATATTCTCAGACCCTAAACCACCAGATTAAGTATAAAAATAAACATGGGTGATTCTAAATAAATAGTTTTCTTTTTATGGACAGATTGTATATATGGTAGGCATAGTTCTGGTCATAAAAATCTGTACATTATTGCCATCCATTAGGCCTCAATGCAGACCCTAGGGAACACTCTTCCAGACTTCCAAAGACATATAGGTATTTTTCTTTTCCAAAGGTCACTGTCATTCAAATAAAAAAATGTTGCCTATTTAAAATTAGTGGAAAGCTGTTAGCTCTATTCTAATTGAGCTCAAGTATGAATATTGCTCAAGTATAACTCTATTAAACCTTGACCTTCACTTGCCTAGTCAATACACAGTACTAAAAAGACTGAAGAGGATATTACTGGCACAGACACCTTGAAAATATCAGTGCATCAAGAAAGATGACCATAGTTCAATGAGTTTAGTGACTCCTAAAGAAACAGAAATTCGTCTTAACCTCATACGTCAGGTTGCTTGTTGCTTCCTGCTGTACAAAGTGGGCTAAGACTGGATCTGGCCTACCAACATGCCTAGTTCCATTAAGGTCTGATGTGATCAAAGCCTACTCTTAGCCTCAGGACGTAAAAATGGACTGCAAAACTACCAAGACTGAGTTCTTTGGATGAAAGCTTTTGTTAGATAGAACTATCAAATGGCCACCCTCATTCCAACTATGCCGCCATACAGTCCCCTCCCAATCCTTCTATTAAATTCCAGACATCATATTACTTTATCCCTAAATATTTTTTAAATTATTGAATGAATAAATCACTCTTATCACTTCCTCTAGGGAGCCTTCCCTAACCACACAGATGAAATGGAATTCTTCCCTTCTCCAAACTGCCTGTACCAGTTGATACATACATATTGACTAAACTCAGCTTTCACGTACAGTCTATGTTTTGTCTAAATTGTAAACAACAACATGAAGGAAGAAGGAAGTGACTGTATTTTCGTGAACCTATTTCACCATCTACCACGTTAAAGCAGATACATATATGTGTTGACTGGTTGATTTAACAAAATGACTGGGTTATATTAGAAAAGAATGGGCAGGACTTCCCTGGTGGTGCAGTAGTTAAGAATCTGCCTGCCAATGCAGGGAACACGGGTTCAATCCCTGGTTCGGGAAGATCCCACATGCCTTGGAGCAACTAAGCCCGTGCGCCACAACTACTGAGCCTATGCTCTAGAGCCCGCGAGCCACAACTACTGAGCCCGCATGCTGCAACTACTAAAGTCTGCGTGCTTAGAACCCATACTCCACAACAAGAGATGCCACCACAATGAGGAGCCTGTGCACTGCAATGAAGAGTAGTCCCCGCTCACTGCAGCTAGAGAAAGCCTGCGTGCAGCAACTAAGACCCAACACAGCCAAAAAAAAAAAAAAAAAAAGAATGGGCAAACTTTTGAGATCGAATTTGACACTCCTGTTCTAGGATAATGCCAAATATAAACAATTTTAAAAATTATGTGTTTATTCCTAATTTCAAAAAGCATATTTCTGTGTTCCATAGTTATCTCTTTGTTTTTCTCTCCCCTCTCTCTCTCTTTACTTTTCATCTGAGATTTAAAATATAAAGAGCAGAAAGCTATGAACTCTTTCAACCAAAAACAATGCCTTGTTCATCCTTAAATCCTATAATACCTAACATGTAGCAACTGCTTACGCAATTTCTAAGGAATATACGTGTTTGTTAATATTACCACTACCTTCCACAATTTCTTCAGAGTCATCCACAAAAAATTCTTTTAAGGGAGGCCTTTTGGGTCGTTTCAGAGTGTTGAGAAGCTGCTGGATTTTTGTGGATACTCTGCTACTGACAGGAACACCTATAAGGGAAAAAATGGTAAGTTAAAATTAATTGATTTTAGGGATATTTCAGTTCCTCAATTCTCTTAGGAGCTTTTATTTCTAAGGATGTTTGGCCTTTGTCCACAGTCTCATTCTATTTCAACTGGGCCAAACAGGTACAAATACGTACATTATCATTTTTATGACAACAGAGAAAAAATATGCTATTATTAATACTGTTTAAATATTTCATCTAACATCCCTTTTCTCTCATAGCATTCTTTTCTTTTTCCATACTTTTTGTTCAGAATATCTTTTTGAAAGTACAGACTAAGTGTGAACAAGTGTTAGTGCTGCTACAGTGCAGAAGTTGAAAAGAGGGAGCTCAAGATGATCTGTGTGAGTAGGTCAATCGCAGTATAGTTCTGCCACTGCTGGACATCAGGCACTGCTGTTTATAATTTGAATTTTTTCTGTTTTACTAATGTGCCCTATTTAGCTATCAAACAGAGATGCCTACCATCAGCTGTATCCATGAGGCTGGACCTGTTGGATCCTTTGTGCATGCCTTTAACTATCCCCGATGGGGGTAGATCAATATTTGCTGGGCGTATTGAGGAAGATGATGACGAAGAAGAGGTAGTTGTAGTGACGTCAGGGGGAGCAGAGAAATTCTCTAAGAGGGAAGAAACCAAAATTTAGAATTATATTACATTAGCAATAAAAATAAGAATCTTTAAATCTTTTTTTTTCTGGTTTGTTTTTTAAGAAGAAAGAAAACTACATAAATGGGACACTAGCTCCAATAAAACAACCTTTAAAATCACATTTTACTAGCAAGATATAATGAGAGAGGAAGAGGTTAAGCCAGGGCATATCAGCTTTCTAAAATTATTACTCTTGAGAACTTGAGCAGCCTTAGTAAGATCAAATCACATATCAAATATTTCTCAAAAATGCTGTTTCCTACACAGAAAGTCTGGTAGAAATCCAATGTTATAAAAATAACCATAATAAAATAAAAATTGCAAGTGACTTCAAAATGAAATCAAAGTATGATCATTATGGCCACTAACAGTCTAGTCTTCTGAGCATTTCTTCATGTTTATGCTGGTTTATCTATGTTTCTTCTTTCACTGAAGACAGAAATTGTGTCTTGGGAGTCAGATCGCTCAAGTTCCCAAATGAAGAAAACCAGATAAAATCCACTTTTAATTTTTATAAAATAACCAATAGGTTACTTGGATTTACTTGACAGAAAAGGTTCTTCCCTTGCTCTAAGCATGATTAAACAGTGTTGTTATATTCTGCTTCATGTAGGGATTCTTACTATAAAGAAATAATGATATAGTTGGAAGAGAGCCATTCAACAGGGATGTGTTACAAAAAACTTAGAAGAAGAAAACGAAAATTAGAGGAAGCAAAGTATACAATTCGCAAGAATAATGAAAGGCCACTCATAACTATGGAAAAGGGAAAAAGCATATTATAAACAATTTCTAAAATCAATTTGGGAGTAAGCTTTCCATGCCCCAAAAGTCTATAATTACTAGTTTAATATTTTTTAAAGCTTTAAATACTTTGCACAAGTATATTGCAGTATATTCTTTCTATAGGATAATGTGATAACAAAGCTTTAAAAATAGACATTTTTATTTGACCCAGCAATTCCACTTATAGGAATACATCCTCAGAGGAAATAATCAAACAAATGCACAAAGTTGTGTGTTCGAGGATGTTCATTCCGGTTTCATAATGGCAAAAAACTGGAAGCTACTTAAATGTCCAAAATAGGGAAATGGCTAAAATAAGCTAGGGCATAGTCATACAGTTAGTTGCATATTTTGAAACCATAAAAAAAAGTATAATTCTATATTAATGATATAAAAGATGTCTGTGATACACTGCTAATAAAAGGTTATGAACATTATATTTAGTACAATTTCACTTCTGTAAAAACAAAAACAAAACCTTACATATTTATATGCAAATAAGGTCTAGAAGGATATACATGAAAGTGATAACACTGAAGTGTTATCCATACGAAGTGGGTTTGTAGATTATTTTTCCTTTTATTTGTACTTTCAAATTTTTCTTTGAGAAACATGAATTACTTCTGTTAGAGCAGACATCCAAAAGGCAATAATGTTGGATAAAATGGTTCCTGTGAGTACCTGAACCAATAACTTTTCACAGAGTGGAAGCAATATGAGATATGAAGTCAGATGAAATCATCTTGTTAACAAAAATTCAGGTAAAGTTAACTGGGTATCAGGAAAATATTTTTAACAAGTGAAACTGCTCTCTTTTAGACAATGTGGGAATAAAACCTGACCCCACCATGGCTCTGTTGCTTACCCTCCCAATAGAAGAGGTGGTGAGCATGCTCATCCGTAGCTGCTTCGGGAGGTTCAGTCAATTAAGGGCACAGCTAAGAGTGCAGGACAAGCCATCAGTTGTTGGCACTTGGCCTTTTAATGTAGGCAAGCATACCCTCAAGGTAGCTATTTTCTTTAAAAATTATAGGCTTAAATTGAAAGGTTTCCAAGTTCTTCTTTTCAGAAATCAATTAACAGAATAAAGATATATATAAGGTGAAACAGGAAGGTCACTGATATAAAAATTAAGACACCAAAATGCAACTGGATTGTTAAAAAACAAGGAAAAGTATCACAGACACATGATGTTCATATACATCACTTAGTGCCATGTGTACCAACTAATTAAGCAAAAGCAGAGATCTGAACTGTATCTTTATCTGCAGATGTCACAGACTCCTAGAACACACACACACACACACACACACACACACACACACACACACACAAAGCAGAGCCAAGCGAAAGCTATACTCCATAGAGGAGCACTGGCAGCAGGTAGCAGCTCACAGGGTACCAACGTTCTCAGCCCGCACACTCCATTGTAGCAATAGCACAGCAGCAACGACAATAAATCCAGTCTTTATGCTAAAGACAAAAGGGTCTTATTGATATTGTCTTAGTTCAGAATTTGCTCAGGTTTAATTTTTTTGTGTTTGAGAGAATGCAGACAACAATCCTGGGAAAATCTAATACGTTACATCGTTTAACACCTTTTACTTGATGGAATATTCTCCAACAGGGATAAACCACACTAAGACTGGTGTTATATCTTGCAGCTTGAGCATTGCTTATAGAAATAGCTATGGCTTCAGGTGGGCAATAAATACTATGCACCAATAATGCAGACGCTCTCTATCATTCCAAGTGTAATGCTTGTGTTTCCTTCTTTGCCTCATTAACTGTCATGTTCTTTCTGATTCTATTTTTTTTAGGCCACCCTGAAAAACCTAATACAAATCATAACCTATTTCCTGGATACTGGGAGCCAAATGGCACATAATTTGGGCTTCTCGGGTAGATCCAGCTCCTACCTATTCGAGTATTGGCAAATACATCAGCTAGAGACCCACTGGTTCCTTTGACCTCTCCATGGGACAGCGTAGAAGATGCGGATGAAGAAGTGGACGATCCCTGAATTGAACGGTTGATCCAGGACTCAGCATTCTGTAAGCTCTGTTGCAAGGCAGCAGAGAGCGCAGCTTGGCGTCTCAGAGAGCCCTCATCCTCAGAGGCCGAAGACGTGTCTGTGTGGAATTAGAAAAAAAGAAGTTCTCGATCCTGCCTACAACAGAGGGCTTTCAGATCTTTCTCATCGGTCACACATTCAATTTTGACAGAAGCAAAAAACATTCATATTCTTAAGGTAGATTAATATGTAAAGTTTCTTGAGAATCTCAAGGAAAGGTTTATGAACCAAAGTCTGCAAAAATAAAGCAGCCAAAATCTAGAGGTAATTTTAAGCTCTTTTAAAAAACCCATTTTAGAACATTTAAACTTCACTGTTTTTCTGTTCTGAGCTTAATCAGTATCTGAATTCTTCTGGCTTATCTCCTTATGTTCAAACAATCCTGAAGTGCTTCTATATCTTCTTCAGGCTCTTTATTAGAGAACCTTGTGATAGGCTGCTATACTGATTTTCGTAAGTACTTACTAATTAGTGTCTACTTAAAAGAAAATGATCTTGATGGGAAATATAAGTACTTATTTTTGGTAACAACAACTAAAGTGCCAAATAGTGAACTAGGCGTTGAGGAACTGACTTATTCTTATGTGGAATAAGAAACAGTGCTCAGCCTGGAGGCATTCATGGTTTTAGTGGAAAAGCTAGCTGGTCACAGGGCACAGGTGAGCTCTCCAAACGTGACTGGAGAGGTCACAGATCTGTATTTCTCTCCTTGATTCTCAGTCAGAGAACTGTGAGAAATCCACTGATGTCTGTATTTAGACTGGCTCTGACTTCAGGAAAATAAGGTCTAAATTAGAAAAGCATGTTGAAAAAAAAAGAAAAATTCAACCAAATATAGGATAGCCAAGGGAAGCAGAAGCCAGGAATTTATTCCAGGGCTCTGAGCTTACGAGTCATACAAGTTAGAGTGGCATTTAGTCTGATGTCAGATAAACCCTTCTAAATGATTTTGAGGGTTATAATTTATGGCCTGTGAATTGAATTTCATTCAATTTTTACTGCTGAACTCTTTGTTCTAACTCAGGTGAAACTGTGGGTCCAGGTTCTATTACTTTGGTTCAGAGAGCCAAACAGATAACTAACAGGGCTAGAACACTGCTAAAACCTGACAATGGAAATTCCAACAACAAAAGACTAATTTGATCCGGAGTAAGAAAGTTAGAATAATGACTACATCCTTGCTTCCTGCTCTGAACTACCTCTGACTCACTCTCTCATTCTGAAGGAGATCTGAGGCCCAAGACTTACTTACTTACTTACTTACTTACTTATTTATTTATTACAATGTACTACTTAGCTACGTAATGTGTGCTGGGAACTGTCAGGTTCTGGGGATTCTGAGATGTATGAATTCTTCTGAGACAGTAAATGCCCTAAGAAGGCTTACCATCTAATACAGGAGATACACAACTCCTCAGACTATTTCATACGAATATAACAGATGCTAGGAAATGGGGTGAACAAAGGGTTTCACAGGAGGGGCACCAATCTCAGTCAGGGATCTGAGGTACTTCTACGTAAATGGAGCACACTTTGAGGAGGTAAGGAAGGGCAAAAGATGAGGCTAGAGAGGTAAACAGTGACCAGACTCCAAAGGGATAAAGCGATGAGGTTCTTCAAAAGGAAGAGATTTATAATTAAACAGAGGGTGATTAAAGGAAAATACAGAGAAAGAAAAGTAACAGAATCTGTAACCTTTTACTTAAGGAAAACATTTTTGCATTATCTCCAAGAAAATATTCTAACATTTCATCTGTACCTTGGGAGGCAGAGATTTCAGTCTTTGCAAATATACTTAAAAAAAAAAAAAAAGTACATGTGGGAGGAATGGGACAGGTGAATCTGACCCTAAGAATAAAGTATTTTCGGGGTGATACATCTCAGGATCCCACAACCTCCACTGTATTTGCAGGCTGTCTTCATGAATCAATTACTGTAATCTGTGTTAAGTCTAAAATCAGAATAACTCAATTTTAAAAAGATAGTAAAACCAGTATTTTCATGATTAGGTTTATGGAAAATTGGCTTCATTATGTTCCTATATTGGATCAACATGTAATTAGGTATATTGTTTCAATTCAATTACCTCATTTGCCTGCCAGTCCTCCTCAGAGTGTTTACTGACTACAACTACGGGGAGGCTTAGTGTAGTGGAAAAAACATGGCTTTGGTGTCCTCCTTCCATTTGAACTCTGGGGTCCACCACTTACTAGCTATGTGACTTGGGGACAAAATTACCCATCTGAGAAGGTTGTTTGCTTGTTCGTCCATTCAACAAATGCTCTAAGTACTACACTAGTTGGTAGGAATAAAATGGTAAGCAAGAAGACACAGTCCCTACTCTAACAGGACTTAGAGTCTTAAAGGAGTTCGAGGCAGGCACCGAAGGAAGTGAGACCTCAACCAGGGTGGAACGGTAAGCAGGAATTACTTATGAGAGGAGAGAGGAGAGTCAGGTAGAGGGAACAGCATGTCAGAAACCTGGGAGGGGACAGGAAACAAAGCACATTTGTAGATCTGGAAGAAATGAGACCAGCTGCAGCACAGGATGCAAAGCTGGTACTGACGCGAGATGAGGCCGGATGAGTAGACAGCACTAGGTTGCTAAGGGCCACATAAATCGGCTGAGGAATCTCGCCTCTGTGCTAACTGTTGTGTGAGACCACGAAATGAGGCAAGCTACAGAAAGCACCAGCAGTGCCAGCATATAGCAGGGGGCCAATAAACATCAAGTCCCCTTCTGCCCTGAAAAACCCACCCTATGTTACCTCACAGACACAAAACTGTGGCTGTGAAATGCTTACAACTGATCACATGTTAAGATCACACAAAATGTAAGCACTGCTCTAGGACTATGTCTTTTTTTTTTGCAGTTCGCGGGCCTCTCACTGCTGTGGCCTCTCCCGTTGCGCAGCACAGGCTCCGGACGCGCAGGCCCAGCGGCCACGGCTCACGGGCCCAGCCGCTCCGCGGCACGTGGGCTCCTCCCGGACCGGGGCACGAACCCACGCCCGCCGCATCGGCAGGCGGACCCCCAACCACTGCGCCACCAGGGAAGCCCTAGGACTATGTCTTTTTAAAGATAAAAACAAGCTCCCTTAAATATTCATACATTTATTTGGTACCTTTTTTTTTTTTAAGTAACTGTCACCCATGAAATTGTTATGGATTAGCAGAAAATTGGGCAAGATTAAATTAATGTTAATAGAAATAAAGCTATCATTTTCCCACTGATTCTGCTCTGGTTGAACAGGAACTCACAACTCTTATCCATCATAACTAAAGCCCTTGCCTAACTTCTTGTATATTATGAATATAATAGGTCTACACAACAGAAAACTATTTTGGAAACACAGTTTGACCTTCAGGTTATAACTGATGTGATTTTAACACAGTATCATTTAATACTGATCACCAGAAGCCTAAAGTCCATTTGTAACCAATTAGGAAACATATAAACAATTAGTTTGTGGACTTTAAGGGAAGAAAAGTCCTGAATTTATTTACTAACTGCTGTAGCACTCCTTAGCCATTTGTGGAAATGACTCCCTTATTCTTGGTAGAAAATATATCTATTATATCTAAAAATATTTATCTTAAAATTTTAAATACCTACCATATTATCTTTCCATCCCACTCCTGGGTATCTACCCAAGAGAAATGAAAGCATATATCTATCCGTACAAGGACTTGTACATGAATGCTCATAGGTGCTTTATTTGTAATAGCTAAAAATGGGAAACAACTCAAATGTCCATCAGCAACTGAGAGTATAAACAAATTGTGGCATATCTTTATGATGGAATACTACTCAGCAATAAAAAGGAATAACTACTGATACACACAACAACATGGATGAATCTCAATGTAATCATGCTGAGTTAAAGAAGTCAGACCTTCCACCTGCCAAAAAGAAGAACAACTGTGTGATTCTATTTATACAAAAACATGAAATTCTAGAAAATGCAAACCAATGTATAGTGACAGAAAAAACAGATCAGTGGTTACCTCATGGGGATGGGGAGAGTTGAGATTACAAGGGAATTATGAGGAAACTTTTGGGGGTGATAGATATGTTCATTATCTTAATTGTGGTGATGGTTTCACAGTTTTGCTATGTCAAACATAGAAAAGTATATGCTTTAAATATGTGCAACTTATTGTATGTCGATTATACTTCAACAAATCTGATTTTAAAAGGTTTGTAGGGGTGAAAAAGATGCCTTGGTGAGAGAATGGTAACATCTGAAGGTTAGTCTATACAACCTGATGGTATGGTGCAAGCTGAAAAAGTTCCTGGAAAGACAGCGCTTGCCACTGGGTTCTGACAGCTGATACCCAAATTAGGCCCAGATACCAGCTTAGAACAGCAGGTAAGTCAAGATTCACTGAAAGAAAGACCTCATCCTAACAACTATTCCAAAATATGCCACATAAACTAGGCCAGAAAATGGGAGCTTCAAAGAACAAATAAAGGAAACAACCATTAACCATTGTACAGTTAGGGTACAATATTCTGGAGCCCATGAAAAGAAATTTTTGTGTGTGTTTGGGGTTGGCAGGTGGGAAGGGGTGGTATCAGGCAGGAAAGTGTCATGTTCGCTTGCAATGGTGGGTCAGGGGAATTAAGGACTTCCAGAACCTTCAAGAGAGGCAAAGGAAGTTTCCATGTAGGCAAAGATAGAGTTTGAAGCTTAGGAGGGATAAGCTTTAGAGACCCAAGAAGGGGCAGTCTGGGAGTAAAAGCATATATGGAAGAGAAGATTAGAAGGTTAGTTTGGGAAGCAGGTCCATTCTGAATTTACGTTGGGCTACAAATTCTGAACAGATTAATCTAGCACTAAACTCAACAAGGGTGAGTACTGATTCACCAGACAAGGCTTAGGGAGATGTTCAGAGCTACTCAAGAGATTTTCCAGCATCCCACAGTAACCTGTGTGGACAGAGAGCTGGCTGGGGCTGAAAAATCACTATGTAGAGCCTAATCAGCAGAGGCCCATGCATTGCCCGACCATTAACATCCAAACGGGGATACTTACAAGGGAGAGGCACTCACTA